TTCTTTCCACGGGATTTCGGGTAGTATGCGCACTCCACTTGAGTCGTTGCGGAGACGATTCGCAGGCAGCAGAACGGCCTCAGTCTCGTCCGCCGAGTTTAGTGTTACCCGAAGTAACCGGGGTTCGCCGTAGTGCAACGCGTTTGGGTGGCGCGAGATTCTTCTTAATTTCATGGGATTAGCATGGACACCGATCGACGTACAGATGGAACCCCACTGATTTCTATCGTCCGTCAACTTACCCTTAATTGTATGGATTTGGATTCGGGACATTTGTGCATACAATGTTTAGGGCACCATGGTTGCACCTGATGGCTACTGGTTTTCGATTTAGAGGCTCAGTATCCGGTGTTTTTGGTGAATTTGTGAACGGCCTTGGTGTGTGCCATCCGTGCTGCGGCAGTTTTGTTTTCTCTAGTCCGGGCACAAAGGTTACCGGTACTCTTTCCGGTGTTTGCTTGGCGGCAACCGAGGCGAACGTTGACGGGTTGTTCACTAATGCTGGTTGACTGTAGCTTACAGTCTCGAGTGTAGCGAACAGACTACTAGGTGCAGCACACAGTACAGAAGTTGAGGCAGGCGCGCTGCAGGCACTGTTTTTACTTATGGGAGGGAGAGAGAATGGAGTTGATACTGCTGGCGGCTGAGTCGTTGGGGTTCGGTTGGGACGCCTGGCTCGCTTCTTCGGCCTGACTAGTGAGTTCGGGGTGTTATTTTCCCTCACAAGTCAGGTCCGTTTCCTCCCATGGATGTAACTCTGGCGCTCACCAGTTGCTCGACCGCTTCGGTTAATGTTTCACACCTTTTCAGTAGCACAGATAGACAGCTAACAAATGGAATAGACTTGTATACTTGGCAGAACCAAAACGCCTGTGCAGTGTTCGCTTTCGTCGACCCCATCCCAAGACATGTAGTGTGATAGGATTTCAAACACGTGGTACACACCAGACCACTTTTTACCACTTAGCACATGATTCGCATTTGCTCTTCATACGAGACATGTTCTCAGTAGGGGTAGAAATGGGGTAGAAAGAGGTTAGAGACACTGACCCACCGTCGCGTGGCGATCGGCGCTGGTTTGAGGTCAGCGGGTCCAGGCTTGTCGCGGCCAGATGAGTCACGCGTTCTTTAGGTTAGGTAAGCGAGGTGCGTGCTATCGATCCAGACGGTAGAGGGTAGGTAGCGATGCGACGTACGACTGAGGCGAAGCAAGGTGACTTGGAAAATACGGTCTAACGACGACAGTGGCAGTTCCAAAGGGCGGATCAAATTGACGACTATCGCTTTGTAGAGCGACTTGAAGGAATGGTAGCAAGCTGCTCGGGTGACTCTCAAAAAGATCTTTAAAATAAGACCACAAGAGTTCTTGTGCGACGCGAGGAAAAATAAAAACTTCGATAAGGCTCAAATACGGTTGACTTCGAAGTTGCAAGACCACAGTTTGCTGGTGATCCGTGAATGATAGATCCAATAGATGAACAGTGGTAGGAGGAGCTCGCGGAGGCAAATCAAATGATAGCTCGTAGGTCTCTGTGAGAATACATCCAAAGAGTGGTAGGCGAATAACGCAAGAGAACAGTTTTTTTGTAACCGCTCGTGTCAGTGAAGTTGGATAGCTTAACCATTAACGAGATTATTTCCAGGATGCTTGGGCGAACATCAGGTCCCTAACATGTGAAAGCAAGGCATAAATATCAAGATTTCCAAGAGCAGTAGCCGTTCAAATCCAGCCAACTATCGCTCAGTGACTCTTCTTCCGGTGCTCTCTAAGCTGATGGAATTGGTCATAGCTGAGGCTGTAATGGGCTACTTCGAAATGTCTAACATCGTAGCACCGGAGCAACACGGATTCTGCCAAAGTCGATCATGTACTACCAACCTACTACTTTCCGTAACAGTTGGACCAAGATAGACGACAGTGGGACCGACATTTATGTCATCTACCTAGACTTTCCCCAGAATTCGACCGCATAGATCACCGCATCCTTCTTTAAAAGCTGCAAGCGTAGGGAGTTGGAAACCCTGTTCTTGGATGGATCGGAAACTTCCTCCTTCAGCGGAGCCTTCAGGTTCGAGTTCGAGGTTCGTTTTCTGATGCAATTGATGTGGATTGTGGTGTTATACAAGGATCGGTGTTAGGGCCGTGATTATCCTTGTTCTTCATTAACGACCTTGCGAGTGTCATCAAGTCAAATATCCTGCTTTTCGCCGATGACATCACTCGACAATCGACTGTCATGAATATCAAAATATGTTGCAACAAGACTTAGACTGCGCTTTTAAATAGCCAAAGCTATGCTACTTCCGTTTAACACAGACAAGTGCAAAACCGTGCATGTCAGCTACAAGCCAACATACGCATATAAGCTTAGAGACGATACGCTAAATAGGCCTCACAAGAGCAAGACTTTGGTGTGGTAATCCAAGACGACCTTGGCTGTTCGGCGCAGTTCTAGTAGGCGTCCAAGACTGCGAAGCAACATGTTGGTCTGTTACGGAGGGCATTCGGGAGGTTCCATCCCTCCATCTTCCCCCAAACGCTCAATGCGTATGTGAGGCCCCATGTAGAGTACGCAATCTAGACTTGCCAACCCTGGTTAAAACGCGATGTGATTGCACTGGAGACCGCGTAGCGACGGACAACGAAAATTTGAGGGGTACGTCCCACCTGCAAAACCCTAGGCAACTGAAAGCGCTGGGAGTGTGCAGCGGAAGATATCGCCGTCTACGAGATGACCTCATCTTGGCTTTCCAGATTTTGAAAACCCTGGTCGTGCCTGCCGGGACCTCCTGAAGCTTAGCTGCAACACAGAATTGAGAGGTCGTTAATTGAAACTTGCCACCCAATACAGTCGGCTGGAGTGACACAGGAATTACTTTTCCCTTCGATTTTGTCAACTGTGGGGCACCCTTCCGACTTTTGTCATTTCCGCGCCAACGCTACCCATTTTTAAAGAACGATTCGACGATGCTTTATGTCATTTACATTACTTGCTCTGATTTCTATTCATTGAGTGACGACAAGACGCAGACAAACATTGTGCTCACCAACCCCACGAAATCAGGTTAGACGGATATACCATGTGTTCACGTGGATAATATGGTGAGTCCACAGATGTGTCTTTCACTTTTGTGTTAATTACTTGAACTAACCTTATTCCCACAAACCATCCCACGGGACTAGTCAAGCCTTGGCTTTTTTATCCGTATTATACAATTGTTCTATTTTTCCATATCCCACTCTCGAATTGCGCTTAGCAAGTACGGGCTAAAGCTTCAGGTGCCTTCTGCGTTACATCGTTCTTACGCAACTTCCGCACCAATGCATTATTCACCATTATCACCGAACACGAAACGGTGCGAGTTTTGTGAATCAAATCTAGTCCCTCAGCAAGGTCATCAATCAAAATATTTAAACATTAAACAGCTCCATTCTCAAGGACTGATTACCGGATATATTATCGAAGTGTGATAACGCGCCAGGCCTAACTAATTGGTCAAAGTAGACAAGATCCAGTAAGTAGCGTCATCGTTGGAACCGAGTTGCGCAGCAACTACCTGATTCCCGTTCTTCACTTACTGATGAAACTCTATCGTTTCATGCGGTCGCCTTATCATCCTTGCGAACAGACTGGCGTTGATGTATAAATAAGATTTTCTCATTTCATGTTACGGTTGAAAAATTGTACTAACATCTGGTAGTATTATCTTTTGAGTTATCTTGATTTTGGTTAATCTTACCCTTGAAATTCAGTCCTTGTTTACCATCATCCTCTGAACCTCAACATTTGATAAATGAAGAACTTGACGGGAAATTTGCGCTGGCGACCCTCTGCTGTGTCTGACGAAAGAAGGAGACGTCTTTCGCGACTGACATTTATGATTGCAGTTTCTTATTTCGCGGTATAATCTTCAGACGGTAGGTAAACATTTCTGTCAACCTGATACCTTTAAACCTTCATAATTTAACAGTGAAGCGGAACGCCTCTTTGGTACTCTAAGAACCATCTTCCAAGCAACTCGACAACCCCGTTTCGGCACCGTAATAAGAGGGGTGGCTCTAACATTAATCTGTACAGGTTACCGCTCAGATTTATACCTGTGTAATTAAGTCTGTTGGTCTGCATGTGCAGCTAAACATCATTTCTTCAATTCCCACCTTAGTCTTACGATATTTTCTTTCAGAATATGTCAAAAATTGGTCTTAATGTGAAGGCGGAAATCATGTTTCGACAGTCTGGCACAATGGCAACTGATACGATTTATTGATTCACTGCATCAGAAGGCTCTGGTTGATTGATTAAAGCATGTAAACTGAATAGTTCATGAGAAGATAACCAACCTCAGCGAAACCATGAAGGCAGTATAGCAGTAGTGAATTGTTGCAGAATGGTGAGTACAATGACTAATGGAAAACATTTGATAAGCTATTTGGTAAAATCGCTGATGTTACCGATTCAATCCAAATTGCATTTGAATATCAGCCTACCTGCTAATCTATGCTTCTAGATATCTCTTCCAGCTTGTCATGCCGACCGCTGTACGCGTCAGTATTTTACTTCAGGCTGGAAGTTCTACAGAAGATCCTAGTCCTCCTTTTAAAACAATGTTGACGAGAAGAAGTAACTGCAAATATTTTCTATCCGCGATACTGATTCACACATACACTTCAAAGCAGTCTGTGGCAACAGAAAGGCTACCAGGTTCGCAAACAGTTAATGCTTGCTGCGTTGCTTCCGCCTTCCTTTGTATTGCATTGCAACATACGAATTTTATGCAAAGTACTGCTTTTCCTCAACTCAGCGAATGGGCACAGGCCTAGAATAGCCGAAGGTGTGTTCCACTGTCCACAGATTCGCGAAGCGGAGTAGAAGCGTTTAATACTGGTGCCGGCCTATTACAGCCATTTCTCAAAGAAAAGAAATATATGCATGTTAATTGTATTACACAAATTACGATGGTTAGACAGACAACAGTAAATCGCTTTCACTCCTTTATAATCATCTGAAAACCCCAGGTCCACTTTCGCATTCCGCTCTACAATTATAAAGCGTACGGAGAAGAAAAGATCAAAGTAAATCGTCGTGCGATTTAAACACATCGGTTTGGAATCAGATAAGAAAGGTGCTAGACCAGTCCAACTGAGTTACATTGCGACAAAAATTTATCATATAGAAAATATTCACTGCTCCTCCTTAAAAATCCGTTATTTTTACCCCGTTAGCATTAATTTGCTAGCTTTCAATATTCCGTCACATCGTGAAGACAATTCATTCGAAATTCATTTCGGTGTGTGGATGGGACCTGCTCAGCTTCGACTAGTTGTGCAAATGGGGTTCAATCTTCTGGTATTAGCTCGGAAACTGTAATCCTAGAAGATGGACCAATGATATAATACGAATAAAAAGACCAACCCTTGAGTAGTCCCGTAGGATGGTTTGTGGGAAAAAGGTTAGTTTAAGTAAGCTACACAAAAGTGAAATACGCATCTGTGGACTCACCATATTATCCACGTGAACACATAGTTATAACCGTCTAACCCGATTTCGTGAGGTTGGTGAGCACAATGTTTGTCTTCGTCTTGTTATCACTCAATGAATAGAAATCAGATCAAATAGTGTAAATGATGTAAGGCATCGTCGAATCGTTCTTTAAAAATGGGTGGCTTTGGCGCCGAAATGACAGAAGAAGAAAGCGCGTTCTATGATTGACAAACTCGAAGGGAAATCTAATTTCGGTGTCACTTCCTCCGACAGTATTGGGTGGCAAGTTTCAATTTATGACCCCTCAATTCTGTGTTGCAGCTAAGCTTCAGGAGGTTTCGGCAGGCGAGACCGGGGTTTTCAAAATCTGGAAAACCAAAATGTGTTCATTTCGTAGAAGGCAGTATCTTCCGCTTCACACTCCCAGGGATTTCAGTCGCTTAGGGTCTGCAGGTGGGACAAACCCTTCACATTTATCATTGCCCATCGCTATGCGGTATCCAGTTTAAGCAGGTCACGTTTTAACCAGTGTTGGTAAGTCTAGATTGCGTACTCTACATGGGGCCTCACCTACGCATTGAGCATTTGGGGGAAGATGGAGAAATCGAACCTCCCGAATTCCCTCTTTAACAGAACAACATGTTGATTCGCAGTCTTGGAGGCCTTCAAGAACTGCACCGAACAACCAAGGTCGTCTTGGATTACCACACCAATGTCTTGCTCTTATGAGGCCATATTTAGCGTATCGTCTCTAAGCTTATATGCGTGTGTTGGCTTGTGGCTGACATGCACGGTTTTGCACTTGTCTGTGTTAAACGGAAGTAGAGTAGATTTGGCTATTTAAAAGCGCAGTCTAAGTCTCGTTGCAACATATCGTGATATTCGTGACAATCGATTGTTCGCCATATCTTGATGTCATCGGCGAAAACAGGAAATTTGACTTGCTGACACTCACAAGGTTGTTAATGAGGAACAAGAATAATCACGGCCCTAACACCGATCCTTGTATAACACCACAATCCACATCAATTGGATCAGAAAATGAACTTTGAACTCGAAGCTGAAGGCTCTGCTAAAGGAGGAAGTCTCCGATCCTTCTAAGGACAGGGTTTCCAAATCCGTACGCTTGCAGCTTTTGTAGAAGAATGCGGTGATCTATGCGGTCGAATGCTTTGGAAAAGTCTAGGTAGCTGAGATAAATGCCGGTTCCAATATCGTCTATCTCGGTCCAACTGCTACGGGCAAGCAGTCGTTTGGTAGTACATGACCGAGGTTGGCAGAATGCGTGTTGCTCCGGTGCTATGATATTAGACCATTCGAAGTAGCTCCATACAGCCTCAGCTATGACCAATTCCATCAGCTTAGAGAGCACCGGAAGAAGAGTCACTGAGCGATAGTTGCTTGGCGCTGAACGGCTACCGCTCTTGCCAACCGTGCTATTTATGCCTTGCTTTCACATGTTTGGGACCTGCTGTTCTTCCAGGCATCTTGGGAAATATCTCGTTAATAGCTCACCTATCTTGGTAACTGCCACCTGCAGAGCTTTCGGGGGAATGTTGTCAACTCCGATGGAACTATGGGTGCGCAACGATAGCAATTTCCTCAACATTGTCGCTGAACTAAATGTGACGTGTTCAAAGAATGGCATCTGGGAGAACGGGACAGGTATGTTACAAATGCTGATAGTACGTTTGAAAATTGGGGCATATTATAGCCGTAGAACGTTGGCTGCATCCTCGGCGGTTTGAACACATCCATACGCTGACAGTAGTGGGATAACACGACGTTTCACATTCCGGAGGCTGTTCACATATCTGTACAGAAGTCTTTTTGTTAATACAAAGCTTTTCAGCTAGACTGCTGGTGTACTAATTGCTCCTCGCGCATACGTGCGGTACAGTGGTTACGATGCACAAGATAGTTAATCCAGTTGTCCGGGCTATGGTTCTCTCTATACACATGCCACGCGCCGTCTCTTACTGCCATGTATTTTCGGATTCTGCTCCGAATGAATGATTTTGCCCTTGCAGGACACGGTGGCTTGTTGACCGATTCAGATTTATTCAGCTCACTGAACTAGCCAGTAAAATCCAACAATACACTGTCAATGGAACAGTCGTTCGGAAACTCCCAGCTAGCATCTCCCGCATGTTCTGCGAGTATGTCATATTGGGTGATTGTTCGAAACAAGTTAGTATGTTCTTGTGGATACTCCGCATAACACACGAAGTCGTAAGTTATGATTACGTGGTCACTTTGCCCCAGATGACTTTCCAGCCTTGGTTTCTCAACTGTGTGCTCTTCGTTCGTGAGCACTACATCAAGTACAATCGCTTTACCTCCGGCGCTGAATCGGCAGGGTGAACTGACATGGCTGAAGAGCGGAATGCTTGCAACATACGCTGGCAGCTCGGCATTAACGTGATCGGTTTGCCATGCCGGAACTTCCAAACCAGGAATAGTGAAGCTGCCTGACATAACATGAGTGTATCGTCCTCGTAGTACTCTTCCCAAGGATAATGACAGGTGGGAGTCTATCTCTGGGGTGGAGATTGGGGACGATAAAAAACAGTCAAAATGCAAGTGTCCTTGCGTCTCAAGCGCAGACTGCATCAAAGTTAGTCTATGCTCAGCGTTCACGAATCGGCCACCGGTCCGGATTGCAGGTGTTTGCGGTTGTATAACATTACTCCTGCCGCTTTTGCTTGGTCGATTGTTTCGGATAAGGGACATACCATTTACTACGATCTCGGCGTTGATAATTTCTGAATGCAACTAGGTTTCCGTAATGCATATGAAGTCTCAGACATGATGTGACGTTTGACGTAGCCGCAGTTCGGCAAGCATGGTCAGAGGAAATTATCTAGCGGTGTACATGCAGGAACGTTTCTCTGCTTTTAGCAGTAAATCGTGGGATAGGTGTTTTGGATAAAAAGGTTGTGCCGACAGGTAAAAGGTCGGCAACTAATAGTTTTTTGGTTGGGGGATGACGAAATCATCTGTGTCCGATTCATGGATCCTACCATTACCTCTTTGTTTCTCTCTTTGTATATAATGTATAAAATGTGTTTGCCAGTTTCGTTGGCTAGTGGATTGACGTTATCAAAACTCTTGTTGATAACTGGTCTGACTAAGTGGCTACTCTCGTGTGTTTGTTTAGCAGATGCTGCTTTGATCCGGAGCTAGGAAGGAAGGCTGCTGCGGCCCGCATACCATCCTTCCACTACCATTGCTGACATTTGTATAGTTTGAAAGACTACTTTCACAATCCTCGGACCACATCTTTTGCAGTTTGGCGACCAGTGCAGCCTCGAAATTGATTGCGCTGTGACGTTTTCCACGGTGAGGGTATTGCGGATGTACTGCTATTGCTCTTTGTTCTGGTGTTCTCTTCTACTCATCCTGAGTGCCAGCCTCTGGAACACCGTGTACATGGATGGTCCTGACTGCGGATTACTTCCGGTTTTCGTCCAACTAGTGCTTCGCCTGTTTGCGCTCGATCCACGGAATACCTGTGAATATGCGGATGGAACATGACCCATTCCCGAGACGAGCTATCGATAACATGACAGCTTCTGCTTCATTAGCAGAAGTCAACACGACTCGGAAAAGTCTTAAATCCTTGTAGTGCTGTGAGTTTGGGTGATAAGTACCGCATATCCACTTGACGTGCATTGTTGCAACACATATAATATCACATTTGGAGTTCCATTGATTAACGTCTTCGGGTTGTTTTTCTTTCAAATATCTTGTCGTCCATTCGGGAACATTGGTGCAGATTACCGCTGGTATACAACGTGCAATATCGTTTGAGTTCGAGCATCCAGCTGCTCTGCATACAGTCGCTGAAGACTCTTTGGATACAGGTTCGTCTTCTTTCTTTACTATGGGTCCAGTGGGAGTGGCTGGATCTAGCTTTTCGATTACCGTCGGCGGTAAACAAGTTCCGACCACCACTGGTGCCGAAGCCCTTCTGAATTCTCGGAACCGTTTTTTAGTGTTGGTCAATAGGTATGGATCTATGCTCAAATCTATTAGCTTATAATTCTTTTGACATGTATTTATGACTGATAAACTCAATCTCTTCATTGCCAGTTCCTTGAGGATGCACTTGCGGTGCAGAGGATTTCTTTTTTACTAGATCTCCAATCACGGAGCTCCTGTGGAGCTTTCTTTTTGGGTGTCTAATTATATTTGTTTTATTTGTTCGATGGCTTTACGCGCATTTTCTGTATTCTATTCAAGCAACTTTGGCTTCCTTTCCAGCGGTCCGGGAAAGCTAAATTGCCAGCGGAGCTGATGCAGCCGAATAAACTTCATCATACGTCATCAACTGTGCTAGGTGTTATATCACACATACGTGATGGTTTCATGTATGGTAACAAAATTATTTTCTTCCTTTTTACGTTGTGTCTAATACAGCTAAACAGCCTATAAACTTTTTATACAAAGTTTAAAGCGGTGTGACATGCGCTAACTTTCCATTACTTCTCTGACACTTTTTACTTTTCCAGTCCCAAAATTTGTATTCTTATAATTATCTTCTAGTATTCGCGGGTCTCTCATTTTTGTACTCTCTGTTTACATCTGGTATGGTACAGCGTGTTTTAACTGACAGTTTTACGATGGATACTTCTCGGCCCACCACACGCGTGTTCCATTTTTCCTGTCGTGTACTGTGTTCCGTTCATGGGTGTACTTGGGAGATCTTAACTTCGTCGAGTCTACAGTTTGGAAAACCATCCTTTCCAATATTCCGTCAGGTGTTGTGAGATCTTTGTAGAATCGGTCAAGCTGGTAACCTCTTAAATGTCATCGCAAACGATTCCTTTTTACTAGTGTGATAATCTTGGGCCAATTTTTACACCATTAAAAGCTGATTGCTTACTAGCCAATTGTATGCCTGTGATCGCAACTCCAGATACGAATATTGCCACTAAAGCATTGACAAGTTAAAGTAGCCGCAACTTGTCGAGTTGCGTTGGTACAACTTCAGACGCAGTATGTTGCAACAGCAGTCCAAGGAATTCGTTAAAAGCCCCTACTTTTAATCAGCTTACTATGGTGTCTGGAATAAGGATACTTGTCATAACCCGCATAACGAAAGTGGCCGAGGAATATCCGCTGGATTCACGGTTTTTCGTGCCCATGGCCGTCCCAGTGAGACGCATTTGAGACCAATTTTGGTGTATCGAAAAAGTGCCCGTGTAGCCTTAAATATCTGAAGGCAGAGCAATAAGTTTCAGGACGTGCAGTACACATATTAGGTGCAGATGACTTAGCGAAGAGAACGTGAACTGTAATTGCTTCTGGACATTACGCAGTGCTTTCAACTCACAATACCTTATTTCAGCGGCTCAGTACAGCTCCCTTCATAAGCATTGCTACACTTTGACCGTAAGTGTGGGGCTTGGTCGACATCACTGGAGGGCGATGGTTTTGTGACTACAAATGCGGTTTAAAGCAGCACCAGTGTGTTGCTCGATTGCGTGTTACCTTTGGTGTTGCCACACCTTTATGAATCACCGTGGTTGAGTGCTTTGAAAAATTCAAGCACAGCAGCCGCTCACTGGATTATGAGTCACAGGGGGATCGACCGGTCGGGACTACCACCGCGGACAACATGGCTACCGTGCAAGCAATGCGGGAGTAGAACGCGCTGTTGACTGTAGTGCAGCTGGGGTAGGCAATCGGGATTTCATCGGGATCAATCCGTACTATCCTACATGAAAACCAGGGCTTTGGAAAGCTTTGAGCAGCTGGGTGTCCCATCAGCTCAGTCAGTCCCGGAAAGTAGGCTGGGTGAATTGGTGCCGCACCATGCTTGCCAGGTTTGATGGTGGACGTTCCAATGCTGTTTTGGAGATCCTCAGTGGCGATCGGACTTGGAACTACTTGAGAAGCAACTAAGCCCAACGCCAACCATACGACCCGAAAGCTTTTGGGAACTCCTGAACTTCTGCATGCCCACTTATTTCCGCTTTGATGGACAAGTATACCAGCAACTGAGAGGAACTCCCATGGGATCCCCAATTTCGGGGCTGATTGCAGAAGCCGTAATGCAGAAATTGGGGCGCATCGCACTGCCATCTATCAGCCCAAAACTCTAGATACGATACGTAGACGAGAAATTTGTCATCGTAAAACGGATCAGAGTACAAGCCACGCACGAGTTGCCCAACAACACATTCGAGGATAACAAATTTATGATTGAATTAGAGATGGATAACAAGTTGCCATTTTTGGATGTACTGGTCCCTAGAAATCCCGACGGATCTCTGAAAACGTGCGTATATCGGAAAAAGCACATACGTACCAGATATTAAACTACAACATGAACCACCCGATGAAGCACAAAAAGAGCTGGTGTCAAACTCTATTCAAAAGAACGGAAACGCACTGCATCACAGCCGAATTGTGGAAACAGGAAGAAAAGCACCTATATCAAGTGTTTAGAAACAACGGTTATCCGAGAAATTTCATCAGAAGAAGCCTAAAGAAACGAACACCTCATCAACAGTAGCAGCAGCAGCAGTCACCTGAGCAATCAAACCAATGAATAGTGCTCCTCCACACCAAGAACGTCTCCGAACTAACAGGATAAATGCTGAAGTCCCATGGGATCTCTGGGGCTCACAAACCAAGTGTCACCCTAAGGAAATTGATCTCAAGACCCAAAGAAAAGGTTAATCAAGCCGACCAATGCAATGTCATCTATCAGCTAAAATGCAGCGACTGCGATAAAAACTACGTCGGACAAAGGGGAAGGAAGCTTTGTACACGAATCACCGAACACAAGGCGGCCGTCAGAAGACATGATCCGCACTCATTGGTTTCTGCGCACGAAGATCAAGAAGGCCACTATTTCGATCTGGAGAATGTTAAGATTCTAGCACATGGAAGTACAAAGCACGTTTGGGCGTTTTTGGAAGCCTTGTGCTTTACAGCGTATTCAATCAACCGACAGATCGAACTGGACGCAGTATACGAAACACTACTGGCAAAAGACCGCCAACTCAATCGATTGAATCCGGTGGAACATGTGGCTAGCCAACCAGAACTGACGACAGACTCGCTCACAAGCACAAGCAGACAAAGGCCACGAAACACAAGGAGTCAAGATCAAAGGTCATCTGCCCATCAACCCGGCTGAAGGTGGATCGAAACCCTAACCAATAGGATTGCTCGCCTCCACGGGCAACCACGGCGGAATAAAAATGCACGCGCACCACGCTCAGCGCACTCTCACCGGGGCTCCTCTACGCTATTCTAAGCTACTGCACACCACTCAACTACGCACTGATGATGTCACCTCGGTTGGTGACGAAAGGTTTGCAGCCATATTGTCAACTTCGCCCAACAGTTCAACTGCCATCTGAACAACCTGAGCTACCAGTCTTTAATTCTATAGCCGTTTCTTCTTTTATTTTTACATTAGTTTTTTACCAAAAACACACAGTTGGGAAGTAAACCACCCATGTATGCGGAGAGTATAGCTCTTTTTACGAAATAAGCAATCGGTGAGCGCAATCTTTATTTAGCAAATAGTAAGTTATCGCTAATTCAATACTTTTCCTGATGCGTGTGTGTTTGAATTGCTTGAGTACAGTAACAATGTTTTGGTCTTTTCTCATAGCTAACTGTGCCTTAGCTGAGGAAAACCTGTCATACTGTGTGTTGCCAATGATCGGCTGCTGCCTTCAACCGCTGTTACTTCCAATCGAGCCGGACGGACATAGCCACACTTTTTGTCCCATGTTCCGGGAAATGCTACTGCAACGTAGTTGAAGTTAAACTTTTACCAGTGAAACAATGCAACAGTGTTCATTTCACTGAATTGCAAATATCCAGCGCATTCAAATGAGCAGCAAAAGAATGACCTTAATCGGTATCACTACTGGCGACCACTCTGGGATTGAATAAGCGACGTGAAAGGAAATTAGTTTGTGTTAAAATTTTTGCGGTATGTAACTGCTGAATATTTAATGAACTGCTGCGTAACAACTTTTCATACGCGAGGGAAAGCTGTGTCATATAACTTACTCCGTCCTAGAGGGTTGAATAAGATCGGTCGGATGAATCGCGGAACACATTTCTGAGGAAAATACGAAAGCGGATTGCACTAATGTTGTCTGTGGAGCTGAATCTTATGCTCAATTTGTTAACAGTAATTCGAGCTACAAATGGTGAGCATGAGCAAACAAATATTGCGACTTTTTACCCCAACAATGACTTTGCGAAATAATAAAGCTGTAGGATAAAAGGTTAAACGGCATAACACCTACTTTTAGGTATCTGTGATAAGGGAATAATTCATATAATTAACCCCCGGGGCTGTAGCGCTGTACTTGTGTACTGCAAGCCGCAACTATGCGGTGTAATACATTGATTTACCTCTTGTTTACCAACCTAAGTTGCACTTGGCTAAATAAAGCATGTTCACTGGCGAATCCGAAGACCCAAATACTGAATCGGCTAGCTCTTTAGTTTAGCTAAACATTACTGAGCAGTCTATTGAGCACTGTGACTCATTGATAAAATGCTTGAGCGCTTCTATAAACCTTTAGTCGAATGGTAGATTGCTGTACCAAAAAGTAACACCATTGACCGTTCCGGCATACTGTTCGTGCTGTTTTCTGAATCCCCCAGAATTGTGTAATGATTGACCTACAGGTATTCATTTTATGGTGATCTTTCTTCCTGCAGTAACTTAGTGCAAGGGGTATCATTAGTACCCTGTTTACAGCCACAGCTGTCTATGCTGTTTAATCCTTCTTCATCAGCAATAGGTTGTTGCATCTTCCAGGAGATGTGTTGCTGCTTTAGTTTAATTTATTTTGTAATTTACGAAAGTTATGCGCTGACTGTCAGTGACCATAATTACTGGGGCTTGATCGGATGAGAATTTTAGCGCGCTCTTGCGGTGCTGTAGAGAGATGTGCTGCTTCTTTTTTTGATTCTCTCCTTCGTCACCGAGTAATAAGGCATTTTCAAATTAAGCAAGCAACTCCATGTGTCCAATGTTACTGAAATTGTAGATTTAGCTTCTTGCTGAGAGCAGCACATTTGTATCTCTGAGCACTTGGCTGGGCTGATTTCTGACGCAGCTATATTTCGTATTTTAGCATTCGTGAGTTGATAACCTTGACTAACTGCTTAGTAGCGCAGCGCTCTTTTTAACTTTAGTCCTTGAAGTTACGCGATCCTTCGTTATAATTAGCTGTTCTGTCGTTTGATAACTGACGATTTTGTGCAGGTGCTTGAGTGCTCGTTGAGACATATCTCTTATTTTTTGATATGATTATGAAAGTCCGTACCCATCACACCTACCAGTGGTTTTCTAACCGGTCTTGAAATTACGCACGCTTATGGATGATTCCTCGAAGACTTGTAGTTGACGGCGGGAGGATGAATGCCATTTCCTTCGCATTCAAAGGAAAATGATCAAGTCTGTCATCTTTTGGCTGTCTTCCAGACAGAATGATTCTCAACGAAGACCAGAACGAAGTGTTGAGCACCCTTATGTGTTTGTAGTGAATCGAACTACCGATAGCTCGGGTTGGCCGCTGAAGTGTTAATGTGTTTCTCCAGCTAGACAATTTAACAGCCTACGTCTCACCACTGACCGAGTTGACACAAGTATCGCGCAGCAGTGTATCTCACATAACTTGTGTCAATCTCCTAAGCATTTTCAGCTTATAATGGCCTGGTTCGATGAGATCTCAAGTGAAACTTTTATACTGATGAGTATGAACCGAAATTCATCCTAATGTTAAAGGTTTCATATAAGATTAAAGTTTCTTCAGATATACATCCCATCACCAAGCTAACTCAACTGATTCCGCATATTAGAAATATTTAAGCTTAGTGCTTAAGTGCAACCTAGCGGCTTTCCTGCATTGCTTAATGGATACGAGTGATAATGCAAAACCCTCTGCATATTGATTTGGCTACTCAGATACCCATGTGCACACAGTTTCGACACTCATTAAAATAATTCAGAAAACCACAATAAACTATGATCAGTGTTTTCAAGCGTCGAGATTTAGCTGAAGTTAATTTATCTTTCTGAGCATTCTCTGAGATCCTACATAATCCGAAGCTTTCATGCAATCTGCTGAAAGAGCTGAAAAATTTTCGAAGCGAATTTAGCACAGTTAGGACTCACCGATGCATAACTCAGCTCTCCACCTCGGGAAGAATGATGCCCGACAGGTTGCTGTTGTTCGCACCCAGGCGATGGTGCAAGGGAAAAAGAAAGATTTCATAACAATCGCATATAAAAAGGTTAGCAGAATAACCTGAGGAAGCCTGCAACATTGGCATTTTCTGCATTATGCAACCGCACAAGCGAATAGAATTCACAGTGTACTATCTAAATAACACTAACCTTGGCATTTTTTATAATGTTCCGAAATTATTTCGGCCTTGCAACAAAGCTCTGAAATATAGTTGCATATCATAAGTATGGTTAGGGCGTATTGTTATATAAAGGTACTACAGAGCGTCCACATCAACGACTGTTTTGTAAGCATTCTGTTTTAGAAACACAATTAGGTGCTAGAAAATGTTTTCAACAGAGTAGTAGGGTACTTTGAATGATATATGTAGAGGTTCATCAAATCTAGACCAAGTCAGACAGCCATCACACGATCGGAAAACCGTTGTACGGTCATTTTATTATTTTGGAAATCGTTAGCAGTGAGTATTCCATCTCGCTCCCGTTCGGTTGGAAACCACAACCATTGAACTTAACGTACTACCCTTTTTACTCAGTACGCGGATAAAAATTGCTCATATTGCCATCGTTTAATTGAAGGCAGATGTCTGGTAAATTGGTTGCTGGGTGGGTGGGCTATCATATCCTCTGCACGACAGTAAACTGCAAGTCATTGGAGCTTGAGCGGTGTTATGTCACATCTGGTAACTTAGTCACAACGTCCTTTACCGTCCCCGCAGCTCAGCTGTCTCAACCACAGACTGGCAACACTCGAGCTGCGCGTTCGAGCCTTACACGAGTCAAATGGAATGCGTACCGCTAACGATTTCGGAAAGTGTTTTTCAGGGTGTGGGATGGCTCTCTAAACGTAGATTTGATGAACTATTTCTACCAAATACTCTGTTCCATAAGTAATACTTAAAGGGCGGTTTATTTTTAGAAACTGCTCCCCACTGCAATCACCCCAACTATTCTATACCATCTATTTTCGCCATCATCTGTTGACAAGGCGAGTTTCTCGCTAATAAACTTTACTGCAGAACATAAAACGGCACTGTTTACATTCTGGTGTATTGGCACACCTAGCCTTTGATATCGGCTAAATACAACATAGCAGCTAACGATATGCTGCGGGTCACCGGGTGATCCGAGTGTAGCACTATGTCCACACCACTGTTCATGATACAAACAGTGATTCAACGTAATTCAATATTCGCGTAAATGCACCAATATATACTACTTTCGGCAAAGATTTGTGAAGTAAAACTAAATAAAACTGAAATGATCCGGATTACCGGAAAGATTTAGTTATACAGCAGACATTCAATGGTAACGCGCTTGAGAACTGTGCCCTCAGCCATTCTGTCAACATAAAGGGTGCAGATCAGTAATGAATAGTACTGCATTACTGAAAGCTTAAGCTTGTCCCTAGATGTACATTAGAAACACGATTAATTGCTTTAACATCACGCTCTCAGGAGAGGTGCATTTTTGTCAAGTGAATTGTTAGCATATACTTTAGGAAGAGAACTGAATGGCACTAGGTACGATTTAACTTATGTAAACGGGGCGGAGAACTTCCTCGATGCCAGTCCCTTGTGGACGAATTCGCGTCTAAATCCTAAAACAGATGCTAAACGCGTTAGTTGAGTAAACTCCTGCTTCCATACAGCATGTGAAAGAGGAATGTTTGAGGCACAGTTGACATTATCAACTATAGTGCAAGTGCCGTAGTTGCGGAATGTTTTAGTTTGCAGCATGTTTTCCGGCTTTAAAACAAAATGGCGTGAGCTGTGTATCATGAGAGACAACCACCCAAAACCATTGGACTTTTGCGACGAAATCTTCTCATCGGCAAATATGTATGGGAGTTCATCGGCAGACTACTAATTATTAGGCATTTATGATATCAGGGCGCAAACCATCCGTGCTTTTGTACGACTAAAAGCGCTTTGTTTATTCGGTAAAAGGATATGTTCGTAAATCTGCCGTTTTTCTCACCGATGAATATGAACATTGCGTAAGTTCCATCCAGATGTCTACTTCGTAGGCCAAATGGTTTTCATGCGCAGTATGTTAGGGAACAAACCGATTTGATATTCCATACCAAAAGCCGACAGGTCATACGCTAAGTACATATTCTGTTCTATGTTTGTGATTGATTCATAAGAAATTTTCAAGCACAGTACTCTAACCATCCAAAATACATTAAGTCCAGTTACCATTAGACATCACTTGTGTAAGCATAGCCTATCGTCTGGTTCCACACATAATGGTGTTTAGGATATTTATGTCCTAAAGACGAGCAGTACACTTTGTCAGCGGTGTTTACCAAAGTACACTTCTCAGCTTCATGCAAAGGATGGGAGCTTTATCCACTTTTGTGCTTTGTGTCAGCTCCATCTTTGTTGTCTGGATCTATCCAGACCTAACTTCGGATATCCATTTTAATTTCAACCTAATCAGATATCTTAGGCCACCTGTGTATTGAGAACGACATTAAATTACCTTAAGTGAATCCGCATGCTCTGCCATGGATTCTTTGTAAAAATGGTCACTTGCCAATCAGGTATTTGCAATTCGTCGATATGACGGGCTGTTTGCACGCACGGACCAGTGAGTTAGTTTCCCGGTAGTCCAAGCACAACAGCACCGATATCATAATTTTAAGTAAGCAAACAATTTGTTTCATAGAAACCGCTAGTATGCGAATTGTCATCCGTTCCCTACACATACGGATCTTCGCGTTGAAGCGTATCTACTGGGACTGATCTAATCATGAACTTTAATTGACAGGTAGACATTGAAAGCTGACATCCCAAGCAAACGGAAAGTTGACTTAAAGCACCACCCTTAAATCAGGGAGGTAGGAGCCACAGCCTCTGGGTTTCTCATAGTTTCGCTGCCAGAGATTTCTTGCTATATAATCAGGAATAAGATAGTATGGGTTGCAACCAATTTCGTGCCAAACTTATGGCACAAGCTCACCTTACCATTTAACTTGTCAGCTCTGGAAGACGTTTACTTGCGCACAACAATCGGGTTTTCAGCTCACCGATAGTAGATACACAAGTACAGTAAAACCGAAGTGGACCACCTCTCTACGCTGACTGTTCTATTCTAATTGCTTGAACGTTCATCAAGGAAACCTTCCGTATCCAAACACCTATGTGCCGGTCAGTCAGCATGAACAGTAGAACATTGCAATTGGTCCCCTTTTGGTATGCGTGGAAATACTAGCTTTAACGTTTGTTATTTTTGGTTAGTGTCAAAACCAGGGATTGATGTGTGCATTTGCGTGCACTCGTATGTGCACACGTGGAATGTCGGTGGTAATGCATCCTCCATTGCATGCGGTCGGAAGACTGAATCGGTTGACGATCGAACGCTTGATTGTGCACCGGTGAGTGGCTCTTCTGTAGTTAGTTTTGCGAAATAGCAACAAATGCTCCACGTAGTGTGACCGACGAACAGCTTACCCCCAACCGATAGATGATACATCGGAACACATTATTATTCATGAAAACAGAATAACTTCATCTCATAGCTAACTCCAAACATTAGGTACTACGTGTATGCGGATGCTGAACACTTGTTTACAAACGGACAATTAATCCGCTTCCACGAGCGCTTCATCTGCCTCAAAATGATTCCATAAGTCTCGGAGGCAAATATGTTTACTTGCGTAGCATCCTACTACATAATGGTTGACGACATCCGGTTTCGGATTTGCGTGTCACTGCAGCCAGCCACAGGGCGCCTGCATCTACAGAGGGACCATGGGTGGTTTGCGCTGCACCAACCACACAGCTCATATCCAATGTAAACCAGAAGCAATACGACCGGGAGACATGTGGATGGGAGCCACGTTTCATCAACAGAACCGGCCCACACTCCTTCAGAGGCAAACGCAAGCACACTGTATTTGGGAATCAAGCGCACACGGGGTCACGGCTGGACTGTAGTCCGCTCCACGCGGTGTGCATGGAACCACACCTCGATTCTAGCACAGCCACAAGGACGATGCACCGAGTCCCCTCCAGCAACGACCAACTGTCTCTCCTGGAGCCAGTATGGAGGAGGTAGTGGGTAGTAGAGTGGTAGGCACCTTGGCAAGATGCACATCAAGCGTAAGGACACCGGGGATGTCAAGCAACAGCCGAGCACTTGAAATTATCTTATGGAATAAAATATAGCTGTTAAAGTATGCGGATATCAAGACATGACTCTTCCCTAAATTAGCATATGAGTTAAGTTGGTTAGCAACCAATCCGCAAAGAATACAAAATTTCCACAAGTTATTCAAGAAAACGTCAAAAAATGCGCTAATTTTAATGAAGATAAGCACGATTAGCGTAAATAAGGTGGTCAGTTCATAGAAGATTATTCAGGTAGGCAGAACAAACCAAATAAAGTGAAATGAAATGTATCCAGCTTAAAAGGATCTAGTTAAAGCGCAGTTTTAGCCCAACTGCGGTGAAGAAGCGTCATGAATGAAACATCAGCGTCAGCTTACCTACAGTTTCGAATCGTCGCGCAAACTAATGGTTACGTGTGAAATATCTTACAAGTGATTTAAGATCTGCAAAATAATTGCGTGCCGCAAGCAGCGTCTTAGAAAAGAATAGTTTGGAAAGCCTCATAACAGTATATTGTCTTACTGAATACTGAAACTAGAGAGTTGGTAGATGTGCACCTGTGTTACTGCATCATGGTTAGCTCGGACACGTGCGCGGAATTACGTCACTGATCCTTGCGCTTACCGAAGAGATTGGCAACCAACCTGTTTGACCGAGCATTCATTACACTGCACCGTAGAGAACCGTACAGATTTGGCACTTGTGATTTGAGTCAGGATATCTATAGTTGCATTGTTTAACTCGGTGTCTTTGGTCATTGACTGCACTTCACTACGTGCCTACACAGAAAAGCCTTCCAATCCCACATTTCGAACAGGGCATAGACTGCGACCTAGTGTAAAGTAAATAATTGGGCTTAAAACGAGACCACCTAGAACATAATTACTCTAGTAACCTATACCTCGTGCATTAGCTCTATACAGTTCATTAGATAGTACTTGGTTCTCGTCTTAGAAAAGTTGACTTTACTGATTCCAGTTTGGAAACACCACAACATATTATCCCCATTCACACTTGGTAAACGGTTTAATAATGCTATAGCTTTCCATGAACAAGCAGAGGCAAATTATCTCATGTTTGTCCTAAACTCAGCACAACCATGGTTTAGTTATTAACTGAATATGCCACTAATGCCTTGAGTGCTTTAACACTGTACTGAAACATACTTACAATCCGTAGGTCCGTACAGTACATTTGGCTTTATACTAAGTATTTTGACGTTCGAGAGACAGTTTGATTATAATGGGAGATAAAAGTTATAGTGTGACTTACCAAAGTTAGACCATAGTGATTTAAGATTTCATAGGGAGGAGCATACACTAACGAAACGTACAATACAATAATAGTTCAACATGGTAAAAAGAAGCCGCCTATCAGTGTTCGTGCTTGGCATCTAGCTCCTTAAAGAGCCAGATGGCCATATCCGATGACTATCGTCAAAGTATTACGCTGAGTTAAGCTAGTTTAACTTACCATTGCAGGAGTTCCCCGAAAGCCCCTTTGAACATGTTCCTACAAGCAAAAATAATGTGAATCAACTCAATAAGCCGATCTACTCCATGTAAGGTTGTTATATTTAGCAGCTAAGAGTGGTACGATGCAAATCATTATACTCACCGTTGCATGCAGCGAAGCGAATACGTGAACAGCATCCAGCTGAAATGACGAACAAGGAAAAAAGTGTACAAGGAAGTCAGCAGAAGGAAATAGAGAAATAAGTCGGATCATAGCAGACCATAAGCGCATTTCTAGAATCTACTCACAGCGTAACACTGTCAGACAGTTCTGGGCATTTGCACACAGTGCGCGCCTCCCTAAACTTCCACGAACAATGTTCCGCAGTACGGATATGCACAGGTACACTTTGGTAGAACGGCCATTATGCATAAGTATATGCCACACGAAAAGAAATATTATCTAAATAGACGACAAAGGCAATATTTGAGAAACATAACGAACAATTGGGATGGCTTACATATGCAGTGTTGATATTTCACCTGGGAATCTGTCCTTTCTTCACAAATAGCTAAAATTGTAAAGATGCTAGGCTGAATGGTTTATTAGCTGAATTTTACAGTAACCTAAAGGGCACCTTAGCCACTGTGCGGTGACAGCGTATGATATACCTAGGGAATTTGTTCATGAGGACCATATGCATTTTATTTACCACCGGTTGGCATAACAGCTTACCAGCTACAAAGGTGAAGCAATCGGTTTGATCGATGCCTTTTCCACATCCGTTACACTTTTCCTTGATAAGCCTATGAGCCGTGCAATTTGGCACGCGTACCTCGACTGATGTTTGCGTCTTATTTCACAATCGAGTTACCATTCGATTTCTTAGTCCAGCAGAACAAGCATTGCTAGAGATAGCATAAATATCCCAATTATTATCCCAGTTCTTGTGTGTAATGTGGGAATGGGATAAGATACCACGCGGAGTATGATGTGGCGAATTGAAAGGGCAAGCTGAACGAACATGAACTAACAGGCTGAATGCTAACCAATTGCCGCCAACGCAAACTGAAATATTATGCATAATTGCGTTGCAACAAAGCTAGCAAATCTCAAGAACATATCAACAAAGCAATTGCCAGGCAGAATGCGTCACACTGTGAGTGAGCGAGAAACATAACCATGATTTTGTTCCTTAGCAGCATATATCGATCGAGGCCCAGACTACTTTTTTGATTTTCTGAGGGCTCTCGCAATATTCCGGCAGACACCGCCGTGTCAGACCACTCTCACCATTACTGAAGAGGCGCCGATTTCCTTGTTAATTAAGTTACAGAAGACTAACTGCATTTCTGAACAACTGGAGGGAGTGTAAAGCGGAGTGGATGAAATTCGCGTCACTGATCCAGTTGTATAAATACCAAGGTCATACCACTTAGCTAGGGTCAGGTACGCCATTCGCTACGAAGCGATGTGAATAATAGGCAGATGAGTAGTCAAGATTTTTATAGAATTCAGCGAATCCAGCATTGTCCATCTCAATCAGCAGGCTTAGGCTAGTGGGGAAAAGCACCAGAGGCCGACGTTTCGACCTTATGTATCTCATCCGTGGTGTCCATGGCTGAAAGCCAGATATTTCGGAAATAAGTTAGAGCTTTTGCAAAACTGTGTAGGTTGATCAAAGCTTCCTTTTTCTCTCTCCGAAGGGTCAAGATTCTTTCGGTGGATAGTGAAGGTCACCAAATGACACAAAACGTTCTTTAACCTATATGCAAAAGCGTAAAGTTTAGGAATTTGCCTCTGTGAAATTGCCAACTCATATGCAAACAGCGTCGTTCATCCTGTCTACTATTACCTTGAGCAGTGTTGCTGTCTTTCTGGGTAGATCGTGCGAGTGGACCGGTTGTTCACTTGTCCAATTGCTCACATGCTCTTTCCCTTGCTCCGTTGTCATAGCGAATCTTGACTCAAGTGCGTACTTGTTATTATTAGGCTGACAAACCAAGCCTCTTCTTCGCTTTTCACGGGAACACACATTTCGTCAGACTGAATGGGTCCGACGTACTGGGACCTGCCGGCACCTGATTGGTCACCTGCACACTCAGTTGGCTGGCGGTCCTTGCAGAACTCGACATGGGCGTGCGCGGACCACTTTCTGCTCGGCTGACAGACTTGCTTCTGAGGACATGCTCACTCTCCTTCGGGCTGTTGCATCTATTCGGTAGTCCTCGAAATGCTGCGTGGCGTTCAATTGGCCATCTGCCTACAGGTATCACAGCGTTTCCATTCGCCATCGGTTTCAGACACAAACACCTCCTTGGTTTTTTCGCTTTTTAGAATGGTGTTGGAGTGCAGGACCTTGTTCGAATGCGATTGCGGCAATAAGAGATACCACAATCACGGACCAAGAAATCTTATACCTCTAGCAACTGCCGACGAAATATTGGTTGAACCAATACATGAATTGACGTCCGTTGGAGGATGGGAGTAGCTGAAGGCTGCAAATGTAGTTATTCAGTGCACCTAGGAAGGCAACGCCTTGCTACCCCACTTTTGGAACTATTCAGCGAAAGGTATCGCTTATTACGAGGCGGCCGGATAATCGCAACTTTGAATTCACACCAGCAAAATCATGTGTGGCACTCTGGTCTGCATCTCAACAGTAATGCAAACTTGACAGATCACCCATTGTAACTAGCAGAAGAGTACAGCCACCTGAAGTGTCGTAAAAATTTCGTTTCAATTCGCGTGGGTCACCGGTGCAACGCCCTCCTCAATTTGGTCGTTAATGCATCAACATTAGAGATTTTTGGAATCGGCGTGGGTTCATTTGATCTACTTTTATCATCAAAATTCTGTACACTGCAATAAGTGGGATATTTCTGAGTTAAAATGAAGAACGTATATATACTTTAGCATTTCTGTGGGAGGCAAAACTTGAAACCTGCTTCTGAGTTGACATGGCTACTTCTGAGTTAGGTAAAGAGAAGTCCGGTACGAATGAGTGGCTTCTCAGGAGCTCTATGCCTGTTTGTAACAAACACTTACCATTGCAGCCCTTGGCTCCACCACTGTGGTAAAAGATAGCTGGAAAAAGAACCGAACAGGTTAGATCACTTCAGCAAGCATGACATGTTGTAAAGTGTACATTGATTTGCTTATATTGACTGTACCAAAACTCGCCAGAATTTGTATTCAGTTAGTAATCTATGCACTGATCAGTTGTTTCAAAAGGCGTGTCTTCTCCATGTTTACTTACTTTAACCGATTGCTACTATCCGATCGATAGGAATGATCTTTCAGCCCACGCGAATAATAGCGGGCCTGCTTAGGTCTTGTACAAGCTCGCCACGCTAAACCCACTCAAGTAATTACTCCATCTTTCTTGGACTCAACAGCAGCTTGAAACGTAACTAATGTGTTGCGCATGCATCGCGTCACTCTGCCACAAACGGTTGCACCTCCTAGTTGTTCCGGCCGCAAATAACAAAGGTATGAGTTGTTGCGTACTATACAGCAGCACCGAGCACACAGTGTGTTAATCGTATCGTTGGCAATGACTGCCCTAACGAACAATCTCATCATGGTACGAACTGGATACTTCAGGATTATCACATTCTAGCGAATGCTTTCAAGGCAGTGTTCCAGGATGTGGTGCGATTTTGCCTAGCATTCGTTTGACCCAGAAAAAGCTACATATGCACTTTTAGTAGCACTGTGATTTGACAAATTGTACTCGACACTAAATAAACTCACTGTCGATTATTTCACACCTGTAGAGCATTGTAACCTAGTAGCTAAATACTGACTTCATGTCATGGATTAGACCCCTATTTGACAACCGGTCAAATGAATGACATGAGCCGAACAATCGGTCAGTGATTTCCAGTGGATGGGATTCCCCAACTAAGCTTCACTTCCTTCCTATTCGGCTATCCAGCCAAATGCTCGGAATGGTGTCCCTTGATCCAAGTCCCCAATTCGATTTGAGCAAACGGGTAGTATGGCTCTCTCTGACGGAACCGTGCGTTCCGCAAATATTACTACGTTGCTCTCTCCTGCTCCTGTCTACCTCACTACTAATGAACCTTTATCATACGCCAGACCTTACTTCATCCATAAGTTATGTTGTTTTTAATCTATTCTGGTGCTAGTCTCGTTGATGCCCAAAGACTCAGGCTAGTAGCGCTCTCTGGACCTCGAGCTTCATTTTGGCAGACAACCTTCAACGTTCGAAACCTCATGCAGTTTGGGCAACAGGCCAGCATGACGAGCAGGCTAGAGTTCCTCGCAACTAGTTACGGGACTTCAGTACGGTGGTTAGTTTCATCTCCCTCTGCAGACCTCAGAATCGGATATTTCCTACCTTTTTCTTGTGATACCTAAGCGGATGCATTAGGTGTGGCTAGCGTTGGGGTCACAGTTAATGATTAAGCTAAGGCTTTGCCACTCAGTTCGTTCCGACTGATCACTACGGAGTACGGTTCGACTTCAAGGCTCATACGGAAACAACATACATGGTGGAGAGAGACGAGCATGCTCCAAGCGACAACAGTTGTGTGTCTATTAGTGACTTTCATAGAAGACTCCACAAATATTCGAGTAAAGCCTAAAAATCAGATGTCGTCATTCTTACGGGTTACTTAAATTGACTGGTCGGTCGCCTCTTGTCATGTGAACGGTAGCTTGATGGCAGTTATGCCCTAGAAGAGTATCGTTTCTACAACAGAAGCAGAATTCTTCCGTCATGGGAGGAAAACCGATTCTTTCTATCGAGCGAGAAATTTAAGTATTCGAGAAGACGCGCAGCCACCTGACCTGTCCATTCACCAATAAAAGTGTGGACACAAATCAATCACATTGCAATCAGCGGGAAGCGTACTCGATTGGAGATTAATTTGTTTTAATTGCCTGGGCTCAGATCACGTCCTTATCTGTGTTGACGTCTGCAAGCAATTCAGAGGTTTCTCGAAACCAAAGCTCCGTATTCTGTATACCAACCAGTTAGCTAATCCCTCCAATCCGTTGGATTATAAATATTCCTATACACATGCGTTTGATAGTGGTCCACCTTAGGGTACTGAAAATAATTGTGGCTATTTTGCAGATACTTTGCTCTCTACTGCAGCATCATTATGTGATATCACTAGGTGGTGTCTGAGGATTGGATCTTTGCTCGCTCATAGGAATTGCTTAACACTCACCAAGTAAACCCAGCAGATTCAGACGGCGGTATAGTCTGTCGCAAGTTAAGACAGAAAGCTAAGCAAAGGCTGCGTAGCGACCATGAAGGTTTGTTGTCTCAGTTCGCTTTATATATAATAAGTTCCCTTGAAATCGAACGTTATGCAAACCATATTGGACATTTTGCAAACCACTTTGAACATTTTGCCAACCACATAGGATATTTCGCCAACCAGTTTGGACCATTTGCATACCACTTTGGACACATTGTAGTTTAAGCAGAAAATCAGCAATTCGCTTACATGAACTGAGGAGTAAGGCAACTATACAACTTTCAGGCTACCCATTGTAGTCATGCGAATGCAACTAAGTTGTGTAACCAGCGGGTGCCACGTCAACATCTTCTTTTAATCGTGCACCTCAATCGCCTCAAGCAAAGTTGGTGCCTGAGGATCCCCTTATCTCCCTACCTGTCTCCCCGTAGTTTATGTGCTTCTGACTTTACACATATACCTGTGTAGCTATGTGACTATTGAAAAGTCAGACGCCCCAATCGCGTAGTCTATCATGACTTCAACGTACGTTACCTAGCATTGGAGGGTGGTTGTGAAGCACTGGTTTTGAGAATGGATTACGATGCGGCAGCTCATTGTGGACCGTGGTTCACACTGAATTAAACTTCAGTCAATTCGATCACTTGGACCGTAATTGATGAAGCTGATGGGCGGCGATCCAGTTGTCTTCTGTCACTCTATGGGGCCATCACGTATTTCGTGTGGACAAGCTATTCAACTGTTCGATCATTGGATCAGTACAGACTATCATGACTTCACAGCATAGCTTTATTGGCGCGTGTATCCACGCTAAGGTAGTGTTAATTGCTGGTAAACCTACATCTATTTCCTGACAAACCATACAGGACGCTGGTCCTACTCGATTCGATACTTTATGCTTTCTATCTAAAGTGTTTAAGGCATGCGCGTCGTGTAAAGCGTTTTAAACTTTGGAGAAAGAAGCGCTACTATTCCTAAACTATATATATTGCGCATAACTAAACAATGTGAAGAACTATGGCCAAGGCTGCTTGGATATATACATTGGCGTATAAAATGACTTACCGTCAATTGCCTTACGTCGCGTCACCTCAAGGCGCGTTGTGAGGTATTTTGCGCCTGGATCATTCTGTGGCTCAGATCCATCCGGAAAACCGCAGGTTTCTTCAGCTGATGATGATGAAAACATAAACACTATTATTGAGTCTTTGAATCTAAATTTCTTAAAGCAGCTAAAGGAAGAAAACCAATCTGTTAAGTCCCGTTTAAGTGGCAAATACCTGACAACAAATTTGTGAGTTATCGGACACGTTGGTGAAAATGTCAAAAGACTATCAATTCCTAGTGGAGATTAAAGCAGTTAACTGAATGTAAGGTCATCTATCGCTCTCACAATCTATGAGACAAAAGCACATATTTGCTGGCTCCAACTGGAGATTTATTTTCATAAAAGTTATTTGTGGGGAGCTAACCATAACTGACTTCCTCAGTGACACGATACTATTGGTACTTTTATACATCTTTCGGTATAGTAATCAGATGTCCTTCGTTTCATATCGGTGCGGTGTGGTACTCATTTAATAAATCCACGATCTGCAGACACTTTATGAGGCGGATGATTGGGACCATAGGACGGCATGTTTCTAGTCGGTGTCCTGAGGAATTATCCTTTAAACAATCTGGGTCTTTAATATTGTTGGCAGGATCATTGTCTTGTTTAAGTGTACTGCTGGTACAGTTGCATTATGAGCAGCTGAGGTAAAAATGATTATATTTCCAAGACCCTAGAGCAGAAGCCTAGTCGAACCAAAGTAGAACACTACTATATAGTTTGGTCTGGTATCTTCTAAGTATATATTCTAAATTGTCATGCCTTATTTTATTAAGAAAAGCGGCAAATAGAGAGTCCTTGAACTAGAGACTACCTTTCCCAATAACAGCAATTGGGTATCATCTCGCGGTATTGGAAGTTTGTTTTCCGAAGTTATGTGTACCATACAGGTTGATGTCGCGGAAGTGTACTCCCATTGACAACGCGCATGTTTAAAATCTATTGCGTTTCTTTGCCACAGTGAGTGGCCGAATTTCAAGGATTCCTATGTTCGTGCTACCCAAAACACCAGCCACTAACTAAACATCTTACTGCTGAAGATGTTTATCGCACATTCCTCTAGACAACACACTAAGCGGAAGCGGTGTTTCCAAGATATTAGGTACATGTTCATCCATCTCTACTGGTCCTTGTACCTTCAACAAGCCGGTATATTTTTACTGTGTTCACATCCCCATCACTTGTTTCTGCCTTATGAGTTGTGCCTACACTGTCTCCTGCTGTTTATAATCTACCTATAATTGGCTGTCGCTCTCTACCTATTACACTTGAGGTCTATCTGCCATACTCTTCACCGCTACTACTAGCTACAATCTCTGGTGACTAGTACAAGTGTAGTAACTTATAATAACGATCTACAAAATTATCCATTTAACCTTTTCGCCTCAAAATACCTGTGTGAATGTGAAAAGTCTAGCAGCAACGCCCTAAAATTCGATTCAGCCGTGTTATTGTTGAACAACCATGCACATTCGGGACTATAAGGATCGCACATACGAAACTTGCGAATTCTGCAATATAGTGTTAAGTATGATCCTTAGCCGACAAACGAAACAGAACGCGCTCGCGTAGTATGGAACCGATTTACCTGAAGCATCCGGCGTTTTAGTGACTAGAAAAGCCGGAAAGGAAAACCAAAGAAATAATGGAATTAAGGTAAGGTCATCCTCAACCAATCATGTGAGGGCGCGTGTTTACAAATCGATACTCAGGTGCATACGTGACACATGGGGTGGAATGTTACGACGTCTGCATTAAAAGGAAGTTAAACAAAATTTAACCTGTTCATCACAGCGACACTAAATCACCTGGTTTCCACAAATCTTTACTGGAATATGATGCACAATTGCGCAGTTATGCAGGTGGTGATTGTATCTCAATCAATTCAAGTAGATCACTGGTATTTATTACTGCTTGATGACAGGAGGATTACTGATTCTACGCCATCGGTGGGTAAAGGGAACATAAGACACCGACTTATTCCGAAAGGATCAAGCTGTCTTTCGCTAGTTTTCCTGAACCGTAGCATTCCTCCGACTGTAAGCAGCTACAGGGAACCTGCTTTGATAGGCAACGAGTTGACTCATTTTAGTTACGTGTGTTTAAGATATTTTTTATTTGAGCTCAGACAACAGAGTACACCGCATTAGTCGGCTTCCAGTTGCCATCTTTTCCGTCGCAATGAGACCGAACGTTAAGGTGGTGCGACGGCTTGCGTACCTCCGTGACCCATTAAGTCATACTGGGTGGTGCCCCCGGGCACCTGGAGAGTTAGGCCTAATAGGTTTATCAGTGGTGAGAGGTCAGACAAACTCAGTCTCCTGGTCATCCAGGTTGGAGGTTTGAAATGGGATGTCGTTCATTTCATTAAAACTAAATCATTTCCACCTCCCCGCTGTCTTGCGGACAGGCTTTTGAGCCAAAGGCTTTGGATGAGGACCCTAATCGTCCTCCTGTATAGGTCTGGGCGCCCTGGCTGTATCTCAGCCCACATACAACCATAACATATTCTTCGAACATAAACTTCCTCCTGCATCGGCCGTCGCGCAGATTATCAAGCGTCGCCTTATCTGCCGCATACAGCAGGGCGGATAAGCGAAAACATGCTACTGCTGGCGCCTCGCTTCTTTCTTTTCCACCTGTTTCTCTTACTCCCATCCCGACCCCCATTACTAACCTTCCTTCTATAATTCCCAGCTTAATTGATAGCAACCAAAGTGCCACTGGAGTAGAACCATCTGCAGCCACCATCCCACAGCACCTATCGGACGCCTGTCAGCAAAGGTCCCTTATAAGGCCACGCTATCCCGTTTCCATGGCGACATTCAACGTCCGCACTCTAAGACAAACAGGTCAGCAGGCTGCACTCGCACGCACCTTGGACACACTGGATACTGATGTGTGTTGCGTGTCCGAAACTAGGATCAATGACCCTAATGGGGTTGTTGATTTAACCGTACCCGCTTATCCTCTCGTTAATGGTTGCAAGCATCCGAGACGCCGATGCGGCAATCACGGGTCAAGATGGTTTAGGCATCATTCTAAGTCCCAAGGCTTAGCCATCGTTGGCTGTTTGGATTCCGGTGAACAGCCGTTTATGTGCAGCCCGTTTGACGACATCATCCAAGGTTGATTCACGAAGTAGTGCAAAACGCTGTTTGTTTGTGATTTCCGCTTATGCTCCCACCGACTGCAGTTCAGATGTTGTCAAGGACACATTCTATCACGAACTGAACGCGCTACTACGCAGTGCTACTAGTTCAGATATTATAGTACTTGCAGGGGATATGAACGCACAAGTAGGGCGTCTGAGCTCTTCAAAAGCTCAGTTGGGTGGTAATTGTGGGCTTAACTCCGAACAGACTGACAACGGTGAGCGGTTGCCACAACTGTGTGCGGAGTACCAGTTATTTCTTTGTAGCACTGCTTTTAGACACCGTGGGTCCCGAAGTGCCACTTGGCGTACTCCTGTAGCTGGCAACCGATGGACCCAGATTGACCACATAGCCATAAGTTACAGATGGCGTGGTTCCACCCTGGCTTGCCGCTCGTACTGGAATGTTTGCGTCGACTCTGATCATGCCTTGGTACGCTGTCGTTTCTTCATGAACTTTACCGAGAGGTGCATCAAGCGTTCATTCCCATTCCCAAATGAGAAATTGTCTCAACCCTCGGTCAGGCAGGTCTATCAAGACGCACTGCGTACCGAAGTTTCGCTGTCTTTTCCTTATGACACTGAGCTTCAGTGGAATAGTATCTCAGCAGCCATGCACGACGCAGGAGCATCTGCTTGTGGCACTACCAATCGTCACAGCACCAGTCACTGGATACCGAGAGGTCGCTGGACCAGTTGGAATCCAGAAGAAACCCCCCGGCTGGCGCTAAACACAGTGTGACCAGACGAACTATTAGGCGCGAACTAAAGGCGAGCCTACGTACTGACAATGAAGCCTGGTGGACCAATCGGGCTCAAGAAATAGAGGAGGCAGGAGCAGTGGGCAATTACCGAAAGCTCTTCCAGCTGGTCCGCATCACTGGTTCCACAAAACCAGGCGTCAGTGAGACAACCAGAGACAGCGCGGGTGCACTGATACACAATAAGGAGCGCCATATGGATCATTGGGCGGAATGCTTTCAAGATCAGATCGGCTGGCCCCCTGCTGCCGGATCTCTTCCTACTCAGGTGATGCAGGACGTGCCATGGACGGTTAGTTTAGAGCGTCCGTCGGAGGCCGAGGTCCGAAACGCGATCACAGCCCTCAATCGCTTTCGTGCCACTGGTCCGGATACCTTCCCACCTGCACCACATAAGAATGGAAGCGAGGTGCTCTGCAAAGCACTGACCTCCCTATTCGAACGTATTTAGAAGGAAGAGCGTGTCCCGGCTAATTGGAGCGAATCGATTATAGTGGCAATATACAAGAAGGGCAGTCGCACAGACTGTTCTAACCACAGGGGTATTAGCCTAACGCCAGTTGTGACAAAGTTATTGGCCTCGGTTCTCGTTCGCCGCCTCACTGCGGAACGGGAATCTCGGATTAGGGAAGAACAGGTAGGTTTCCGCCCAGGGCGTGGCTGTATATACCATATATTCACTTTGCGGCAGGTGCTAGAGCAGCGCCACGCATACCGCAGACCGACAATAGCTGTGTTCCTCGATTTCAAGAGAACGTTCGATTCCGTCGATCGATCGATTCTGTTCGAAATACTTGCGCGGAAAGGTGTTCCCACGAAACATTTGAACATGCTTCGTGCTCTATACTCGAACACTACAGGCCGCGCCAGGGTCTACGGTGGCCTGTGGGATAGCTTTCCGAACACAAGTTGCATTCGTCAGGGTTGTTCGATTTCCCAATTTTTCAGTTACATTGTGAATTCTGTCATGAAGTGTTCCCATACGGAATCTCACGATGTAGGCGTTGAAGTGCTGCCTGGTGAAAGATTAGTTAATCTTGATTATGCGGAAGACATCATCTTGCTTTTCGGCGATTGTTTGGCGGCACAATCAACCCTAAATAACCTTTCTAGAGTGATCCCATTATTTGGTATGCACTTCGTACCTTCAAAGTGCAAGTTGTTGCTGCAGGATCACCAGCCACTTGATGACCCCTTGACCTTTGATAACGCGGAGCTCGAGGTGGTTGATCAATTCACTTAGCTTGGCAGCTGTATCAGCCACGATGGGCACATAGAAACTGACGTCAGCTCACGCATTGCAAGAGCCAGAACTGCTTTCTTGAACACGCAGCATCTATGGCGACAGAAGGGAGTTTCGCTCCGTATGAAAGGCAGAGTTTACAAGGCCACAGTGAGGGCTGTTCTGCTTTATGGTAGTGAGGCTTGGCCCCTCTGGTCTGAAAATTTGAGGCGCGTTCAAGTCTTAGATCATCGTTGTCTGAGAAGCATTGCTGGTGCCGGATGGCACCAGCGTGTCCGCAACGATGATGTGCGTATGTGCATACTAGGTAGTGATAATCATGCTAGCTCTCTAGAACAACAGATAAGACTGAATAAGTTGCGTTGGCTCGGGCACGTGCTATGGATGCCTGGTCACCGCTTACCTAGGAGGCCCTTGTTTATTCTGCCAGGTGTAGGGTGGCGCAAAGCTCGAGGTGGACAGAAGTTGAATTGGCAGCGGGAAATGAAGTCACTGACAACCAAACTTTGTTCCGTTGGTCCGTCTCGCCTTCCGGGCTGGAGTCCACGTGACTCACCTAGTGCTTGGCTCGAGACTTTACAGGACTTGGCTCGCAACCGACACCAGAGGCGTGTCTGCTGCCGTCTGCTAATCGGACTACCTGTTTAAAGTGTGTTTTGTGCTGAGTTATCTGCGGGATAATGGTTGAGTATGACGCGGGGCTGTGAAAGCCGCAAGGAACCTGTTTCACCGATGCCGCCTTATCTTCGCACCATAGCCAGCTCTTTGTGACGGTATGTTATCTACACAAGGTGTAGGCGCCTTGACCCTGAATGTTTGCTTAGGACATTAAGTTTTTCAGCTAAATCCCCCCTCTCTCTCTTCCTATACTTTATTTCATAGGTCATCATGGTTGAATGGCAGTGAAGCATCAGTTCAAATGGCTGATGTAGTGCGGTTGATGATGATGAGAATGATGAGCTGCCATATATTAAAGTAGCTATGGCGTACATGGCACGGAGGTTGCCTTTCAGCCTGGTACTTATCGTGATTTCTGGCTTCCTGACTGAATTGGAGACGACGCAAGTTGTAGCATTATTTAGCTACGCTGTCCTCATGAGATAAGCCATTTACTCTGGTGACCGTTTGCGTAAAGCCATGTTGTAGAAGCTCAACTGGTACAAAACGTTCTTTATGTAGACAACCCGCTATCTCCTTGATATGTACGGTTAGACTATTTACGACACCCGTCATCTCTGTATCGAGGATGACCACCACGAATAGGTACCAACTCGCTACATGATGGGTGCTTGCTGGTTCCTTTCGCCATACTTCGACTCTGCCTTGCTTTCTTTTACACCCCGTTAGGTGATCACTGGGGCTTCACTTTGTATGCCGTCGTTAATACTACGTCTAGTTTACCCGTTCTTACTTCTGTTCGACAGTCATACTTATACCTGCGGCATTAGCGATTCGCACTGACTTGGTACAATCTGACTGGTGGAACCGATGACGTATCTCTGTAAATTTGTACATAAAAAGCTTATCATCTTTGACACTCTTGTTTTAACAACACTTGAACTTGCGGCCTTTTTTGTCACCCTAAATGCATGCTGTCTACAGCATTTTGAGTTCTGTATGTAACTGCGTAAATGCACATTCGGAAACTAAACTGTGTTTAAAGGGAACTACAGTACTATACTTTCAACTTTTAATAAAGCTGGCACTCATATTTCCTTGCACATCAATAATATACCAAGTCTACTCACCATTGCGCCGCGCAACTGTCGTTGCAGTCACAGGTGTCGTGGTTCTTGGTTTCAATGTTGTAGATGCCAGAGTCTTTCTCGTCTGTTCTGTCGCATCGGTTGAGCACTCTGCATGTTTCGGGAACAAGTGTGAAAAAATATGTGCGACATGGTTGCGGAGCAACGAGCTGATGAAGTTAATGGGTTACGCTAAGCCCCAATCTTGGAGGGTTCACGTGGGAATTAAAAGAGGATTGAGGACCCGTAAATCACTTGGAATGGTAAGCTTCCCTCATTTGCTGTAGTGTTTAGCGTTGTTGTTGCAGTAGAGCTGCTACTGGTATATTAATCTCATATAGACAACAAAACGGTCAAAGGGCTGGTTCAACATTTGGTTTCTAAAGCACATCATATCACCATGGTTGGCAAGTAAACAATTGCGTGATCATTTCCGAAATTTTTCCGTTGGTGAAACCACTCCTCACTGTGTAGATGTTGTGTGCTTTGCGCTTCATGAACAGCATGAATGGCTTCATACTGTTCTAACATAAACCCACGTAACTAACAACTTACAGCAGCTCGCTGTGTAATCCGTAACTGGTACACCTCCCCCCAATGATTGCCAACTTTTTTATTAGTGCCTGTCATTCGGTTGGAGTGGTTGGGTGTATATTAGATCTAGGGCGAGATACACCATCGTGGCGATGTCGCTCTACAGAATTCAAAGCAAGTGACAATTGACCATGTCACACACACACACACACACACACACATTCGTACTTCTGCCATGGGTAGAGCAATTAGAACCAATGCATCACTTTGGCTGCAAAACTGCAGGCTTCAGAGCACACAAACTGTTGAATTTACGAGACCCTGTAGCTTTGGTTATTTAAGTAAGGCCTTCATGTTTGTGAAGTAATTACTTGAAAGATTGCGTCACAACTAATTGCTTCCTTAAGATGCATTCAGCAAGCAGTACTTCAGTCGGTCTTATTCGCATTAACTCTAAGTTAATATGAAATGGGATAGAACACCATAGCTGATTTCATCATACTTAAAAGTTGTCTTACTTACCTTGCTCCTCCGGTGGCGCTAACCAATGCGGTATCTTAAAGCTGGCTGTAGAAAGAACCGATATAAATAATGCAGGAGAAATATTACGACTTGCTGACCAACAACTCAGTAGAAAATAACCATGTTGTGGATAGTAAATTGGATTAAAATCTCAAAACAATTGCACCAGTGACATTTCTCCCACCTAGGCAGTCCACAAAGAGAGAGTGGATGAAGTTTGATCTACCATACCGCCACGTCACAATACAAAGTCTATTGGGCAAAAAGGACTGATGGGCCGCAATTACAAGAAATCTTGACCCGGTGCAACTTACTCCCCTATGCACAGTGATGAAGCGTACGACAGCGTAAACAATGCCTATTCCAATGAGTTGTCTTGCCATGTGGGTCACTACCATCTGTTGTGGACTCTGAACGGTATGAAGCGATCGATCAATATAGAACAGTAGTATATACGGTTCCAAGCAGATTAAAAGGATGAACTTTGGCTTTAAACCTTGATAGTTTAAAATCCGTATCAAGTGATTTCTTAATCTTGTGAGAGATGCACACTTTATTTTTAACCGTGCTAACTACCATTGATCAGTTTTGCACCGTGATTCGGCTCTGGATCGCAGACTATTTAGCGAACTACAGTTGGCCTGGACACACCTTCCTGTTAATCGGTACAGCATAATGATGCCCAAGCCTGGGTAAAGATACTTCCTGCTTAGCCTATTGTGACGCACTACCTGGCAAGAAAAGTAGCGCGAAACATGCTTTTCTTATAAAGCTAGCCCACCATTATTTAACCGCTGTCATTTAAAAACACATGACTGCGAGTCACATTAGCTCCATGCTGTCTTCAATTACGTTGAGCATGTTTATCAACGTTAGCTTGCGATTCCCTGAGTTATTATGCATCATAGTAAATTACTGAAGTAATTGTAGGCTAGATGTACTGCACTTCTGTTGATGTTTTTGTAGTAGACATTTTGGGCAGCTGCAACAAGTTTGTGTGGTAGTAAATTCGGCATATTAGAATAAACGCTACGGAAAATATTTTTAATTACTAATACTAACCTCTAGTGGTTGTTCGGCTTCCTAGAAAATGCGCTTTCAAAAAGATATCAGTATTTCATTTAGTTGTTAATTGGCTTATTTGCCTTATGGGTAAAATTAGTATTCATCTAGTCTGGTTCAATAAGGGAGCGTCATTACTCTCACATAAAATCCCCATGCTTTCTTCCCCGCCTTTTAGGCAGAAAATAGCGCCGCAGTTACGTAGAAATCTCGCCATAAACCATCCACACTGAGAGGATACAACACCGAAAATACATCAATATAGCGGATGGATCTAACCAGAAAGAAACTTACATTTCGGTCTTCTCTGTGCAGATGATGGTGAGGCGGACGCTAGGAAAATAGAAATAACAAAACACTGGTCAGTCAGTATGCATTTCTCAAGGCTTACACCATCAGTCTTTGGCCGTCGAAGCACAAATCTTGCTACACCAGCTTGAGCCTATATTTATCGAGCCCAAGATACATGTTGCCGGTGTGTAACTAAATTGTGTAACCCGTTGTGAAAGAATAGGTGCATTCGATCCCGATGAGTGCGATATTGACCATTGTTTATGCAGAGTACGACTGATGGGTTACTTGAGCAGAGGACATCTCAAATACCCAATAGGTCTCCTGCATTTTAACTGCAAATGCCCAAATTTATCCTGTCACAGAGGTGTGGGGAAGAGTACGCAAATGTAGTGACATTCACTGCCCTGGTGCCCTGGGGTCTATTAGCAGTGTTTGCATTTTTACTAATCATCTAGGAATAAGATCTATACGTATAACGTTTGGTTGAACTCGCAACAACACTAGAAATTTGCCCATCAACAGTGAATTCTTGTTTCAGCAAGTAGATAATCAGTATCGTGCAAAAGCTTTTTAAATTTTATGTGCACAGTGTAGTGTTGACAGCTTTGATTATGACTAAATGGGATTGCTCAACCTGAGAGTTATGATGACGCACCGAAAGTCGGCTCCAAATTCTCATGCTCTAGTTAACATGTCCTGGTCGATATCTGCAAGACTTGCAGAAAGCATCCTCCAAATAAGTCAAGTGTTAAGCAGGCCTTATGCAACTCTTACTGCAGAGCAATTTACTTAACTTCATATTACTCACTTTTTGGTTGTGAACGCTCCTGGGACGGGCTAACCGCTGGAAGAAAAGTTCAAATGGCAATGAAGGAAATATAATAAGATGCAAAATTACTGCCCATTGTTTAACCGCAAATTCACGCATGAACATTTTACATGACAGTAGTGGCCCGAGATACGACCGTACCGGGAAAATCTGTAAGGCTTATGTTGTGGAGACCTCATGGTTCCACAAAACTTCGCTCCGGACGTCCTTTCCTGTCCTACAATTTTGTCAGCTGTGTTGCCATGGCACGTTATGCGATGCATTATTGATGACAACGTTATCGGTTGGCAACACTACCTGTCTTATCAAGAGATACTGTTAAAAGCTCACCGAATGCGTGATCCCCTTAGTAACACCGTTGTCAGATGGTCACTATGTCATTCTGATTAGCACCCTTGTCCAATTACCAAGCGACAAATACGCCGCTATACCGATAACGAGAAATCCCGTGACGTAAATACCCTACTGTAGAAAACCGTACTCGTCTCCACATGAGCAGTAAACTCTGCACTGTTATTGCCCTCTTCTCTTTCGGGGTTGTGGGTATTCTTGCGGTATCCTTGTTAGTCTCAGCGCAGTGAGGAAATACTACTGGCCCACTATGTCCCCGCTGGCGCGTCATTGCGAATTGGATCATGCACTTGTCTCCGCGATACCCAGACCACAAGCGCCCAATTGTTGTTCGGACTAAGGAAGCTGTATCCATGCGAATGCGTTACAAAAGCTTGAATCCCACTAAATGGGCCTGATTAACTCTCTGTTACGACAGACAGATTCAAAACCAAGGTGGAATGAGATGTCTTCCGGACCTTCAGTTATCTACTGGTTAATTCGGCCAGGGTCGTCTATAGATTAGTGGGCTCGTATTGACCATCATCCGCTAAGCTCAATGTAATTCTCGGAGAATATTCTTCAAATTCAGGTTGAATTTACTGCTATGCATTCCGCACAAAACGATATCACTTACGCTTTGGTTGTGCACGATTGTGAGGAGAGCCATTCGCTAGAAGGATAATTTTGAAACTCTTTAGAAACTTTATAAAAATAAAAACGTCTAAGTCAAACATCTGACTGCAGTTTGGGTGTTGATTTAGCTGCTGAGTTGAACATTTTGGTAAAATCAAGTTTGAGAAATTAATTAGTGTCTAACGAAAGCTGCAAAAATTTACCGGTAAATGTGCATCCTGTTGTACTGGAAAGGAGGCATTGGTTCTGTTCTATCACAGTTGCATCCCCGCATCAATAAGCTTGCAATAAACACTTCTTCAATGTATTTACGCTTCGGAAACAGCTTGACATGCGATAAATTTGACCTCGGCGGAATCTCTAGGTCCACAAAGCCAATTTGTTGGCAAATAGTGAGAAGATTTGTTGTTCCGAGTGGAGGTGCTTGCGGTAGGCTAGTCTCCGAGATTAGTATTGTACTTTTTCCTCTGGAGGTGTCAACTAGGTTGCTACCGAGACATTTACATCCGAATTACCAACTTGGAGAACAACCTACCATTGTAAGCCACATGGTTTCCTTATATATGTACAGTAGATACTCGGAAGTCGTCCTCAAGCCAAATACTGTAACAGCAACAGCAATCACAGCACCAAAGCATATTCAAGCTTTCCCCATTTAGCTCAATCATTCTACAGCGTTTTGTGAAAATACATATACTAGCTACCCCCTAATCTAATGGTTAAGAAAGTTCCGTTTCCACACATACAAGAGTAATGCTCAAAACCTCAGGGGAGATGAGAGTTACGAATTTATTGAACTCGCTGCGGTTGCACTACTGAGTAGTGAGGTATTTCCAGGATTCTGGAGTTTCATTCCTAGTCGATACTCTTGTGTTTAGGAATATTCGGTGGTGTTTGCAACGTCTTTGAGCTACTGTCGATGCAACTGGTTAGCGAGAACTATCAATAGAAAGTGCCTTTCACAAACGGTAAGAAGCAAAGTTTAGATTACACTTTAGGCCAATAATCCTGAGTACACCAGTGTCGTAATTCCTTCATCCTTGACACGTGCAAACATTTAAACTGATTTAGAAGGCACTGAATTTCGAGTCTAGGTTGCAAGTGACGTCTAGATAAAATTTACAAAACAACTTCGAGCAGCCACCAAGAGTATTGAGCTCTCGCCACCGAATCATCTATCATAGAAGTGCTTGTCAATGCTTGGGGTTTCAAGCAGCAATCAACAATTACGTCGCCAAAGTCTGGTCTGCAAGTCTCCTCGACAGTTTGTTATCAAGATACAACACCGTTCGACTACTTAGACTAAGTCTACCGCGGTGATAAACTCACCCTACGTTCAAATAACTAACTCGCTCCGCCGATGGGGGTGTATAATTAGTACAAGCTAACTCATTCAAAGATATAATAGGAAGTTTTCGGATCATATTTGTCAGAGGCTACATTATAGAGCCAAGATACAAACCGGTTCATTTGGTTTGAGTTTCTATGCGTTGGGGAGCTCGTGATAGCCGACATCTGCCAGGCTAGTAGAGCTTGTCAAACAGGGATCCGGAAATCGACAGGTATCCGTGACAGTCACAGTTTACTTCAGCTTGAATAAGTTGTTGCTTAGTTAGTGATTCAGTAACTTGGGGGCGGAATTGCCGGCTAGCACCCCAAAGTCCCCTGCTTGGAATATCAGTCCTGATGAGTACAATTATATTCGAAACCGGTCATATTTTGCCATGTTGCTAGCAGGCTACACCCATGTTGACCTCTCAGAGTTGTAGGAACTAGGACCAATTCGCCTCGTGGTCGCGTATTCTATGTGTCACCAATTTCCACTGCGGCATCGTTACACAGCGCATTCACTGTATACCCATTGGAATCGGATTAACTTCTATTCACTGGGCACAGTTCTGCGGAAGTGCTCCCTACAGCTCGTGCTGTGTGTAAAGCAACCTGTTTTAATATGCGCACACACATACACGTACAACTCTGTTGTTGTTTGACAGCTATCACAGCTGCAAAACTGCGTCCAATATGGGATTCTCTGCGTTGTATGGCAACCTTGGAATTACTCCCACAGGATCGTTCCTAAGGAACTTGCGACTCAATTTGTGGCTTTCGATAACTGTTGACCAAATCCGACACTTAGCCCTTGACATCCACGCACAACCAGCCAAGTTCAAACTCAGCCCAACATGGATCGATAGGGCAGCCAAACCGGTTGTGCGTGGGTGTCCTTCCTGTGACACCCACCTATGCTAACGGACGACAGCTGTGCGACTCTGACAATAAGCGGGAGGAGCACTCACCGTCTACCTCATGTCACCGGACAGGTGCAGCCTGTCCTGACCTGTTCTAACTGCTCTCTGGCGTTCAAGCCAAAGCAGGGCGACGTAAGTAAACTAGAGTCTAAGGAAGAAAATCTGACTGATGCGCTTTGGTTTGACCAAATATGCAGAACCACTCCATTTGTCAGTGTTTTATTAGACCAAAGAAAATTGTAGAAAACTGACTAAAATAGTTAAGTAAAGGGAGGGGTTATAAGTCTTTGTCATTGAAAACTAACAAGACCAATCTTGTTCCCAAGCAACAAATTCTGCCCCTAGGTCGATGAGTAAAGTCAGTCTTGCTAACCACCCCACTGCATCTGCGCCATCTACTCTGACTCCTTTTGACCTTCTAAGTAAGCAAGCCGCCATAGATGTGGCTGAGTTTAGCCTGTTCATGAAAACTATACTTAAGTCGTAGGTCTCGACCGCGGTAGCACTGAGCCGGGTAACATACATATCGGTCGCCTCGAAAAAATGCCGGAAGCTACTCCGTATGTTCATATTCTGCACCAAGTGTGATAAATGCGACGCAGCATCTATGACCGTGTCCAGTACCTGCTAAATAACCTAATTCGCCGGCCACAACATCGGTCAGACATTTGCCAGATAGAACTATCTGGAGTGTGCACCAAGGTTCTGCAGTCCGACTCTGACACAGGAAAGAGTAAGCTGTTAGCCGATCACAACCGGTGTAGTTTTATCTGTGATGCCATTTGGATTCGGTTTAAGCCAATTGTGCTTGGTGCTTTGCGCGACACCCAACTTCGGTGCACTATGGCTAACCTAGATTTCGCCGAGGAACCTTGAACTCCACGGAGAAGACAGAGACCGTCCTACTCTCAGCAGTTCGTGTTCGCACCACATCGAGGGGACTACGAATACTACCAGATGTTCCTTGATGAAGGCGTCTAAACTAAAAGGACAAACAAGGTAGCCCTCCCATACACGGCATCAAGAAAGGTATACTTGCTCATGGTGTCCCTGAACTGTCCGATTTTCCTATCACGAAACGCAACAACATGACCAAGAATAGTGGTACTACATCAGCGAAGCACTCTCTATGAACGACGTGATTGTTGAATTGTTGACGTGAATTTCTTCATTCCCAAACTACAAGGGTTGAGGTGCATGATTAATGAAAGTGCAGCTACACTCCGAAAGATTTTCAGAAGTCCTTTCCGATATCTGGTAGAAGTTTCGCTCCAGATTACCACCCGTGATTCGGCTGAAGACAGTAGACCGACGACCATGGGTATTTAGCAATTTACTTAAACATGCAACCACACTAAAACCTTTGCATGCACAGTTCTGCGGAGAGATAAATACGATAGCACTTGCGGCACCCGACAGGACAGAGAGACGCACTAGAGAACATCGCAATGTGGAGCGCTTTTTGCAGCTATCTAGTCGGAATGAAATTTATAAACTAACAACCAACCAAAATACGATTAGTAACCAACCGATAAACGGTCAGCTTGGATCCAAATCCGAATTAGACGTCCATCAACGTACACCTAACATCCGAAATTTGCCGTTTGTACACCAACACCCGTGGCTTTTATTAGTAAGTTGGCCGAAGTTAAAGAACGCCAGGCCTCTGGACCACGGGGACCTGGTTAAAGTGATCTGGATAGGCCTTGAAATAGCTGATTCTGAGATCAAGTTACCTCGCACGTTCTTGCTTCGGAACGATAGAACTGGATGTGACAGGGGTGTAATTCTTTACTAAAGTGCTAACCTCCGATGTGAAGTTAATGGTTACCCTGGTGTCCGTGCCGTTGATTCACTTTGATGCTGGCTAAGGTTGCGGAACACCGACACATGTCTTGTAGTGCAACTTACCGTCCACCAAACTCTGCATCTGAAATAGACTACAAACTAAACCACCTTTCAAAGGTTGCTTTGAACAATTCATACAGCGAAATTCGCTTCTCGGGCAACTTCAATGTGCAAGAGGTTAAAACGCCAGCAACCGATGCTTCACACTTTAAGACCTGTTTTCAAGAGCTAATTTCCAGCTACGCTCTGCACATCCTCGTAACCACTCCCACTATATTACAAAACTGCTAACAAGCCACCGATGCTTCGTCTTGTGCTAACCAACCAAGACCTCATGGTGGACGGAATAGTTACAATTATACCCTTGGGTCGTAGTGAGCATGTCACTCTATCGTTTAGCTATATATGCAACACATAATATTATGAAGAGGAGAATGAGAAAGTGTATCCTGTCACGCACTTCAGTGCGTTATTTACGATCGTTCAGTAGACATCTTAGAACTTCTGGACTGAATACTCCCAAGAATTCGCCCAGGAAACATTCATAAAAGACTCGGATACACTGACAGTACACGAAACGAAGACGAATCTTTCAATCGTCAAAGCAGCAGATCATTTAAATATAATTCATTGAGAGGCTTAACATGAAGAGCTTCTAAGGACGCTTCAAATGCCGACACTTTGACTGCATACGTGTACCAGCGTAAGTTTTGCGTGAAAATGATCAGTTGGAAAAGGTGAAGCTTCAAAAGGAGTTAACGAAGCGATTTTGCACGAACCATAATCTGTAATACGGGCACGACAATGGCATTCGTAGTACACAGCGCGTGATCCTAGCAGTGGTCATGATTGACGGGTGCACGCGATCAGCCCCAGAAGCAGCCGATCTCTTGCGGTTCCATTACCCATATGTGTTTCAGAGGGTAGCCAACCCAAAGATTCTCTTTTCCACTGCTCCACCACCAAGTTTATTTAACAGCACCTTTACCGTGAATGCTTTGTTGAAGGTGTAGGTATCCCTGCGTATCCACTGTTCTCCTTTGCTAGCTAACATGCAGCCTAGGGCTCAGTAAGCAGCAGACGATGATCTAGCAGCACCGCTAGCCACTTTCTATCAGCACTTTCTGGAGGAGAAGCAAAAGCTACCATTATGAAAGCTAAGGGGCGTCACTCCTATTCATAATAAAGGTAGTACCACTGACCCAACCAATTCCCATCCAAGAACGCTGCTTTCTTTGCTTACCAAACTTATGGATGCATTCACGGCAGATGCGTTGATGCAGTATCTAGAAAACCATGGCATAATTGCCTCGGGGAAATATAGCTTTCACCAAAGGTGCTCCGGTACTATTAACCCATTAATTGCACTCAGTAGCTGAACTAAAGCAGTTGATGATGGAGCAAGAGCCGATGTTATCTACCAGGACTTCTTAAAGTGTTTGATCGCGTAGACCGCCGAAGTTTTCTTCATTAAGTTCAGAGCTACGGCACTAGTGACCTACTAATGCGTTGGATAAGCAATTTTCCAAGCAAACGCCAGTTGGATGTGAGAGTCTGACAACCATTGCCAGACGCAATTGAGATGCAGTGCAGTGTATCACAACGTACTGTGCTCGGGTCTCTTCTCTTCTTGGTGTTCACAATCGGTCTGGCGAGGTCAAATGCTTCCGGTTACCTATATTTTGTAGAGGATAGCGAAATATGGCGAATGATCAAAGGATCGGAGGACTACCACAGGCACTAGTGTGTTATTTACACGATTTCGCACTAAGTTTTGCATAATACTTTGCCAGTCACTGTTGAAGAATGTCACTTTGTTCAACTGTGCGATAAGCATGACTAGATGTATTGCCTTGGTTCCACATATTGCAGACCAGCTGCCCGGAATTTGACCTTGGTGTGCTCCTACACTCAGCACTCAGCGCGTCGACCTGCTTTGGATGGCATTCGAGAGATTTGACTCATGAATCTTCCGGATGGTGCGCCCATGCGTTAAATAATCCACACTAGCTTGTTATCTTGCTTAAAGCGCTACTCCGAGATGTTAAAGACCCCATAAGGAAAGGCGAGAAACAACGTCGGGACTCTACGCAATCGCTCTTATCAACGAAGTCTGAAGTTTCTTGGAGTTTTCAGCGGGAGTTATAGAAGGTTACGCGTTAATTCCACGTTGGAGTACCGAATGCTTGGTAACCCCTATCACGTATGCCCTCAGTTAGCTATACGCAACCACAAAACTAAACTCAGAGATAGTTGCCAGAAACCGGTTGAACAATACAGCCGTCTGGAATGTCGACGGAATTATTTTTCTGTTCCAGTTTGTCAACTTTGGAACTCGCCTAAACTCCGTTGTCGCATCCACACTTTGGATATTTACAAACAACGAGTAGATGTTTCTGCTGGCTGCCATCACCTCCTTACTTAAGTTGCTACTGTGGAGTATATTTATCATGCCCTGGTACAGGTTTTATGTGTTACAATGACTCAAGGAATTGTCACATATGTGAGCGTTAGTAATTTTAGTGTTCCCACAGAATACATCAGCTATAACTCCCCCACTCTGGTCTTGTGTGCTTGATTTCACTTCACAGTTTTCACTACTGTTATTCAACAGCACGTTCACTCGGCAGAGGCTTAAACAGACGGGATCATATCTTTTGACTTTGTAGTTTTCATTCCCGCTATCCTGGGGGACTTGTCAAGCACCAGCTTCGTTTATAATAGATACATCATTGTTCAGTATTAACCAACCTTACTTACGCTTTGGTTGTGCACGCCCAGGCGATGGAGCATCTTCTGGAAAAACGTTTTAAATTGTAATGAGTTGACTGCTACCGAAGAAAACCGTTCATAGCCTTTCAGTTGCAAATATTTACGTATAGGATTAAGGTTCAGTATTACTGATACCGAAGTTGTTCGTAGTGTAGGCAGTTGAAAATTGTGAAGCTGGTTGAAACAGTAGAAACAACTGTTTACTGCAGAACGGTTACAAAAATTTGTTTGCAGTTTGCTTGTGTCTGGCGAAAGCTGCTCGTATTGCTGGAGAAGGTGACAACTCCGAAACATATTTTCATAGTGGCCAAATCAGGCCAATCGAATGTTATAGCAAGTATTTAATGTATTGTGTAGCACTCGTACCGCTCTGCCGTTACGTATTCTCTGCTCCTAGAATATGATTTTTCAATATGATGCACTAAAGGCTCAGTGGATTAGGCAACAAACTATGAGCAGCTAGTAGTGAAGTGAGCCGAGCACATCGGTGATCGCTCTGCCGAACGGTTGTCGTCCGTAACAAATTGGCTCCAGCCAGTTCTGCACTCACTGTTCTGTTTAGCGTGTTTGGTATCGACTGCCTCGCTATCACATTAGTAAGGTGTACTTACTTACTACCCGCTTTCAACGAGGGCCTCCTGCGGACTTCAATCCAAAGCCTAGCTCGAGTGAATTAGCACATAACCATGCTTAGCACTGGCAAGTCTTCCATCTACTTGCAGATGCCTAATTGTTCTGCTATTCGCGTATATTTTACTCACTTAGAACCTAAGCATGGAATGTCATAACAGTCATAAAGATGGTATACATAAAATTAGCAGGGATAATCCATTTGATGACATTTTTGCATACGGTTTACTTATTTCATTGTAGAAGTTGTCTACAAAAGCTTTCCCTTTTCTACTGGGTGAATAATAACTAGGGAATTATGTCTTCCATATAAGTCAAAAACTTACTTTTCATCGGCACTTGTCCTGGTGCTGGATACTCTGAGATCGAGGAAGGGTGAATTCAATAAAACGAAAGGACTATGTTTAGCTTTTATGACATCAAACACAGCAACTAAAACATTTTATGACATTGCTTAAAACCGACCTCGGTAAATAGCAGCAACCTAAACAACTTGAAAACACTTAGCTTAGTTTTGCTTACTATCAGTGGAATCTCTGAGTAACCTTCTTATGACTAACGTGGTGAATGTACAGGCCTATCAGAGGGTCCCAACTGTCTAATATCTCTTGAGATGACAAAAGTTACATTATATCCTCAATGATCCTAACACAAAGTACATTGGAATCGCTTTACTAATGAATCCTCCTTTTCGGTGAATCGTGCCCAAGTGATGACTGCAGACGTGTATGTGAGGCTCTACATTTTCCCTAGATATGACTGGTATGCTACATTATTTTTTGCGTTTACTCTCAGAAACGAATTCGTTGCTTTAATGTGTAACTACAAAAATTCCATCCTGACTGAAGCACACCAAATATTTCGTAACATTTAACTGCCAGGGTTCAACAGGTTCGCTGTGAATGTTCTTGCTTGAACCGAATCAATACGAGCTGCACTACATAATTATGCGAGGCCGGCTCTAGTATCCGGCTGCAGTTATGAATAATTGCTTTTACTTCTAAAGAGAGGGGGAACATCTGAGTGGTTAGGTGGTGTGAGGTTTTCTAGAACTAAAGTGAATTATATGACGTGTGTATTGAATTATTCACTCACGGGAATCAATGTTCTCCTCTATGAGTAGAATATATGCAAGTTAGCAAAACCGTGTACACGATGACATAGCAAAACGTACAACAATGTTAACTGGCTCCGACTACTGGCTTACTTATTGACACGAAAGCTCACTAGTTTGAAGCTAATACAGAGAGTAGCAACTTAAACGTTTTGTGCTTTCAAGTTGAGCTACTAGATCTACTCGGCGTTATGATTCAGACTGTTTTAAGCACCCCGCCTCTGTTAGTTCCACTCGCTCCTTATTCGGTGTTCGATATCACTGTGTATAGGGTCAATCAACTTGACAGACGGGATCAGCCGATGCGATAAAACTGTCTCAATCTACCACTGTGGATTCAACTCTTATGTATACTTCCTACCGGCGTGACAGCAGACGGACTGCAGCCTTGCGTTTCAACGGCCAAAGTTAGCATAACAAGATCGAACAGTCACCTGCCATTCAGACAAATAGCCAAGGTATAGAGCTAAAGAAGCGCGAACAGTCTGCTTAAGATGGCAATCAAATACGATGTAAGTAAAGTGAACCCATAAGTCTTACATTAACCCCTGCCAATTGCATAGCGAATACACAGCGAACCATGGCACGACGGCTAAAACGATGTCAGAGATTCTCGACTGTGTTTAAGTAGTGCTGGTTTTGCAAGTGCATAGTGAATATTTAAAAAATAATTTCACCAATCTGGAAAATGGTTTTAACTCCTCTTACCATCATATTCTTCGGTGTAACTTTCTTTAAATAAAGTAGGAAATGGCATTTCAACAGCATGTGAAGCGTTTAGAACAAGAGAGATTGAGATGATAGCTCACAATCCAGACAAGTAAAATTTGGGTTGGGTTCTAGTAGTGAATGCAATCATCCTACACTTTATAAGATGGCACATACAAGCGGACGGATGTGCTGTGCACGCAGGGAAGTATTGTTAATGGTAAGCAGCACACTCACCAAACAAGTTGTTCAACCATAGTGTTTAGAGCAATTCAAATTTTTCACGAAAACCTACCAAAACTTTGAAAGCCTTGGTTACTCTCATTGGGGACTCATTCGCTGGCGTTGTCTGCTCGTATAGTCCATTCACGTGATTGCTTTTAGGGCGCATGCGGCTAGCGAAAACGAGTTCACTAACATTTACGTGACCAATGTAGGAGTTATTTAATTTATGCCAGTAGTAGCAATTACTCAGCGGATTATCGCGCTGTTGTTTCTACTCAGACTCCTTAGAGTGGGATATTTCTTCAGATTGCTCGAGGTTGGTTAGCATCATATGTGTAGATAGGTATATTTTCAAAGGAGGCAACGGGTACCGCTCCATACGTGGGCGATTTGCTATCTTCAATCAGGTCAAGTGCGCTAACAACTACAAGCTAGGTAGTATCTGGGCTAGTTTGCAGGCTACCTAGACCAACAAGTTGGATACTGCACGTGAGATGCATTAAGATGCTTTCTCTAGAACACAACTCGCGCAAATTGCACCGTTGACGATGGCGCGGTTGAAAGTTGCTGCAGATCCAGTCAAGCGAGTTTGGCGGTGGGACCGTCAGACAGATTTGAAACGCTTGATATAGTCTGTGCGTAGATGGAACATATAATTTTTTAATTATTTATTATGGAGGAATAAAGTAAATTTAGCATTGGGATCCTGTAACGTCCACCGTGAACGTTGAATAACGCGTAGCCAAAGATCCCGAAATCAAAACAAGTCGGATCACAAATACTACGGTACTATTAAAATATATATGCAGTTGATAATTGGGACACACTTCAATTGTTCAGTATCCCGGTGTATGCAAGTTGACAACAAGGTGTAAGTAAACAATAGGAGGGACGGGTTGTCTACGCCGGACAATCAAGGGAACAAGTCACCACACCTGAGTGCTACGAGTATTAAGACTAATGGCGTTGACCAATCAAGGGATAGTCCAATCACAGGGTGAGAGGTTAATGACACGCATAAACATGGTGTTTGGACAAGCGACCAGCGAACGGGGGAGGGGGTGCCACACATGCTCCGGGCTGAAGGTGTCCCGTTCGGCGAAGAGTAGGGTTGGAGATCCAAAGTCGTCGGTAGACGCACACGCACGGAACCAGTGCCGGGATTAGCATGCACACACAGACACACCTACAACGCTAACAATGGGAATGTAAAGAGGAGCACATAAACGCTGGTCGATATCCATCAACGATCGGCCAAAGTCTGTGGACTAGACCACGAAGTGAAGAGTAGAAGCATTTTATGGGTAAATAAGAGCGTTACAGTATCCTCATCATGGTTCACAGTTCGTTAACAGGAAAATCCCCTAAAAATTGTTGGGCTACAGTCTGGTAAAAAGACCTAGATCATAGCAGAGCTGGCAATGCTTATCCCACTTCTGGGTTAGCATCGGAATGTAGCAGCTGAAAGCTCTATTCGTTCAACACCGGTGCTTGATAACTGTGGGTCTTTGAGAGCCGGTTTGCGAGGAGTGTGCGTGGTGTAAGCTAAAGACCGTTACCGTACAGAGAAATTTCAGAGGTACAAACTATTACAGGACGTTCTTGAGACGTAGCATGAAACAACTAGCAACTTACCGTCATCATAGTCTTCGTATCCTGAAATTGGAATCGTGCTATCAATCTATTGTGCTGTAAAACAATTTTTCGGATTGTATGCAAGGTAGCCATAAAGCTTATTGGAGAAAAACTGAAAACATTGCCATGTAAACCAACCATGCTGTTGTCAAGGCAACTGAGCGATGGTTACTGCACTTGAACTTCGATCATTCACCATCACCGGTCCACTTAATCAACCAACTCATACCTATGTGCGTAATGGGAAAAGTATGTTAAGGGTAGTGATGGTATCATACATCTGATAGTACGCATAAAACCGCAATAATATTTATACCTAAACTGAACGATCTCTCCTCTGTAGATTGGTCCTTCCAGTTCTACTTGTGATTGCCGTATTTTGCTTACATGTAAACAAGGCCGACTTAAAAGTAAGTTTGTTGATCAGAAAAGCAAGATGTGAATTCCTCGTTTAATATATCAAAAGGGAAACTGTTTTGCAAAACATTGTGTCCACTGTCATGGCATGGTCATTCCAGGGAAGTTTACGGTGAACTTCCATTTAGCATATGATTCATAGTTCATAAGCTTAGTTCAGAGGGTTTTCAGATGCAAGATCTTTTTTCTGAACCATCTACGTTGCAGCCACTTATCACACATATGTCATTTGTGTTACAAGTTTAGCTTTCATTTCGGTTAGACCAAGGGTATCCAAAGTCCGGCACACGGGACAAAAGCGGCCTGCGCTAACATTTAAACTGGCCCGCGTCCTCATCATTAAATAATAAATGAAGGTTTAGACTTTTTCGCACATGTGTAGTTTTTGTTATTATCCTGTTAGACTGAACATGACCCGACGCATCTTTATCTCACAAAATGTTGCCGTCCTTGTAAAATGTTTGGACTCCCCCTGGGTTAGACTTGAGCCTGTGTCCTTATTCAGCTTGAAGTGGAATACGACGCGAAAGTGTTCCTACCGGTGGCAGCAGTTTATCAGTCTAAGAATACCTTGAAATATGGTTATCGTCTCTAAGCACCAATAAGTGGCGAAACCATATGGTACTTTGCTGGTGTTTGATTTGAATTGTATTTTGTTTTCTTAAACCTTATCCTACAAACGTATACAGCTGCGTTGATGACAAAACTTGCAACCTTACACACAGTTATCAATTGTTCTACCTAAGTTTAATCAACACGCCAATGCTAAATTTAGCGATTTTTAAGAGATCAAACGATTGTGGCAAATGGTTGTGTATCAGATATGGGCTGGCACGGAATACGTTTTTCGTTACACCCGATCACGCTAAGAAGGCGTTAACTGCTGGGGCAATGTAAAGTTTTAAAACCGTTTTCAACACACGTATACCATAAACCAAATACAAATGCATGATTTCAAAGAGAACTAAGACTGAATCTAGCAATGAATATTTTTTGATGAACCTAGATCTTTCACTGCCTTCCAGCTAGCACATATTTACCGACGTTTACAATGTACGACCATCTATTAGCTACATGACTGCACAGTGGCACTTCTCAAACTCTAAACCCTTTATTGTGTACGGGCATGTAGAAACGCTGAGAAGGCGAAACCACAGCAATAACACTGTTCAGTCTGCTTCATATCTCAGTTAGTGCTACGATCTTGCTTTTAAATGGGCTTGCCAATTTCACA